TACCAGTATGCAGAGCTGGTAGGTAATTTGGTATATTAAGCTCAAAGCAAGAGCGGATATTAAGAGCTTAGGAAATACCTTCTTTATGTGGGAGAAATCAAGTATTTTTGCAATGAAGTACTGCGTCTGATTAAAGCTAGGACACCCTGATCCAATTTATGTTGCGAGATTTGGCTCCTTGCGGACTTCGATGCCTTTCTGGAAGATGTGCTTTTATCAGCTGCTATTGGGCTTGCTCCAAGGGCATATATGAAATTGGGTGATGTGCTTGGAGTGCTGGACAACCTGGGTGATTTGACTGTTTTCTCTGGCCTTAATGTACCTCTTTCATAGCTTACCTCCTTGACTAGGGTGAATGGATAAAATAAATATGATTTCATGGTAGCTGAGAACTGCATGGGTTTATTTTTAAGGACAAATATGTAGTGAAAGTTTCATCAAAATACATGCTTTAGTGTTAGAAGTTCAGGTAGCTTTCTCTCATGACTGTTGCTTTAGTTAGTGAAGGTGAGTTTTGGGGGCATGGGAGGTTGTCTTTTTTACATTTTTGTCTAGTTTGAAGAAAAAAAACCAGATCCTTTAATCTGTCTTCCTGTGATCAGCTTTCACTCTAAGACTTCATGGGTGAAAGCTGCTCACCACCCATCCTTAGAAAGCTAGTGCTACAAACCAGCTGTTAACCATTTTCTGACACACCTCCACCCCTGGTTTAAAAATAATACATTAAAACCCAAACACCTCCTTGGATTCCATGAAGAATTTGACCTTCAGTTTTCTACAAGAAGAGAGAACTTAGATTTGGCACTTAGACCTTGTTGTATGGTATTCCAAATCTGTGTCATTTTGTAGGCATCCTGGTTTGTTGGTTTTTTGCATGCACCCAAGCTCTCCTTCGCTACTGAAGTTTCCAAGGCTGAAGTTTCTCCTCAGTCAGACACACTTCATTCCTCAAAGACTGATCATGGTAGCTTCCTGTGCTGAAACCAGATACACCTTCCCAATGGATGTTATTCTGACAGACAACACAATGATGGTTGCCACAGAAAAAAAAAAAAGAGTAGGGGAGAGTTAAAGGTCTCTTTCCTCATCAGTCTGAATCCAGCCTACTACTTTTGTCTTCCCTAGGAACGTGTTGCAAATACTAAGTTCTGCCTGTGAAAAGGTACTGGGAAATGGGAAAAATTGTTCTTCCCCTCCCTTGCTGTTTAATCTGTAGAGCAGAGCAAGGGAGACATCCAGATTTGGGACAGAAGGGCCCTACTGCTGCAGGGACCAATATGTATTTGCATGGATTTGGTTTTCATACACTAGCGAATACTTCCCTCTGCAGGAAAATCTAAGTCAATAGCAGCCACAGCTTCTGTCAATAGAAAAAATGTTCAAGGCCTGAAGTGGGATCAATTCCCATGAGCAGCTATTTTCATTGTAGAATCCTAAAAATTCCACCTGGCTTGACAGTGGTTGCATTGTTAAATGCTTCTCATGGTAGTTTTGCAGTGTCTGTATCTTTGGAAAAGGCCTGCCTCTAGCTGAATCCCACACGCCTGGTGCCATTCCTGATACCAGGTGCCATCCTGGTGGCTTCAGTTGCCCTTTCATGGCAGCACAGGCTCTGCCTCCTGAGAAGGTTAAGGGTGTAATTTTATTACTGATGCAGCCTGTGATGTAGTGAGCAGGGTAAACCATTTTACTCTGTCTCTTAAACTGAACAGTTTTAGACACAGACAAGGTGGAATGATTTCTAGTCGTGGTGGCTCCTTGTTAGCATGGTGAACAACTACGACAGGTAGAAAGAGGAGCTCTGAATGACTGCTTTAAACCTTCCCTTTTCCTGGCTGTTTTGAGGCCTATTAGGGCTCTTTCTAATGTCGGGAATGTTATACTTAAGACTGCTGGATCATTACTTGTTTTCCTTCCTCTGGTTGTCCAACACTACATAATGTGAAGAGATGCAGAACTGGTCGTTCATTGTTACTGCAACTGTGTTAAGAAATTCACTGAAGACTTGGAACAATTGACTTCTCAGGGATTACTTTTACCTCAAGAGTGTGCGTTAACCCAACATCTCCCAGGCGACTTGCTCTTTAATGCTGTTTCCTATTTAAAAGAAATTTCCATTAATTTAGTAACTCTTATTCATATTATTATCTAGGATGCTAACTCCAGGTGAAAAGCAGCCTCGGTTCCCCCAGCCCACCTACTGTTTTTCCCTATGAAAAAAGGGAGGTGGGAAGATAGAGGCTGTTGACTCTAATATGCTTTCTCCACAGCACAGGCTTTCTTATCTATCACCAATCACATGGCAGTAATATTAAACAAAAAGAAAAGGCAAGATGAAAAAGATAACTAAGAATACGGACCTCCTTTTCTTATTTAGGGCAAGTTTTTAATGCGGTGGGTTTAGCACAAAGTAACAAAATTTTGCTTCACTGAAGTCAGCGACCTCTACTTTCAGAGGGACTTCTAGTTTCTACACCAATTACAGAACGGGATGGTACACCAATTTACTTTTTATCAATTATGCAACAGTAATGTAAAAACTGTGCAACACCATGTCCTCTCTGCTAAAACCTTTATACAGGAAATACATGGTGGTTTATTTTTCAAAGGTTAATAAGCTCCAGTGAGATTTTTATAAATATGAAAAATATGCTTGCAATTTTGCACACTGATTAGAGATTTCTAATGATGTGTTCTAAATAAACTTCAAAAACCCTGAATTACACTGAGTGCTACTGCTGCTTCAGCTGCTTATTCCTTACACCTTTGCTCTTATCTGCAAAACAAAGGCAAGTTCTGCCTCAGGGTTTTAATTGGCTGACATGAACCCAGTACTCATTATGCTCAAACACTTCATAATGGTTTTGTACAGTCATATGTGTTGGGAATACTGAAAATAATTGCCAAGATCCAGGCTAGTTGTTAATAATCACAGGAGTTGCTAGTTTGTAGAAAACTGGTGGGGTTTTTTGCACCAGACTACTTCAAAGAAGGGAGCACAGTTAGAAATCTGATCAAGAAGGATGTTACACACCTGAAAAATACAATCCCATGGCTTTCTACAGTACTGGTCGGTGAGCACTGGGGGAACTTTTATTCACACCTCTTATACTGTCTTTCATTTTATCGTTATGCAACTTCTGTGCACCTTGTCCCACAGCTCCCTTATGTAGCTAACAATACCAATCCTACCCAGGTAGAATTGGCCCAGATTTCCATTAGAAATGAAACAAAAAACTGAGTCTTAATCAAGATACCTGAAAAATAAAAATTAAGCTTATTTCAGCACTCTGTAGACTAGAATTCTCATCCTAACAGTTACAAATACTTCTAAATTATCATACCCATATCTTATCGGCATGATACTGTATTATTCTATCTCAAACACTGATTTTTGTCTTGGCCTTAGAAACCACTTAATTTAAACATGGACTAAACAAGTCCCCTCTTCTTTCCTCCCAACTGAGTTTCTTAGGAAATCCTAACAGTTAAACAACTTTCAAATGTGACAGAAGCTACTAAGCAACTTGCTTTTTAAGAACTACTTTTCTTTTTTCAAGGCTTCATGAAGCCACTTAAATACACTTTCTCTTGTTCAGCAAAGCACTGGAGCACTGGAGCCTCTGGTCAAAGCTTGCCACTAGACAAAGCGAAGTGAACCCTGCAAAGTGAGTCTTGAGGGTACCACGTGTAAAATAATAATTTATTTTTCATTTACACACACTGAATATGAACAGCATAAATTTAATATAAATGTTAATTCAAGTACAGAAGTCAAACACATTATTTCAACATTAAAAATTGCAACATTTAAAACAATTATTATTTAGCTAATATCAAATGCAAATAAAATGAAACTGCTATAACTGCACCTAAATTAACAGCAAGAAGGACAATTTAATATGGTGATGAAATAAACTTAACCAAAATGTGTAGTGGACCACAATAGTTGATTGCTTTTCAGAAAAATTATTCAACTTTGAATCTTTCCATTGCATTGTTTTCTGTCTACATAATACTCCTTTTGGACAAACAATTTTCAGACACAACAGCTTACAAACATTGCTTGCATAGGTGAGGCCCTCAGACGCTTTAACTATGCCATTTGGCCCACTCCTCGACAAGGAACTGAAATTATATATAAAATTCCAAAAATAAGGATGGTCTACAGTATTTGTTTCAGATTTTTAAAAAGAAAAAAAAGGCCGTTATTTTTTTGTCATTCAATAAATAAAGCACTTGACTGAGAAATGCTAAATAGTCACAATAAAAATAAAGATGGCTCAAAGTGAATTACATATATCTGATTTTAAAAATCGAAAACTATTTTCAGTTTAATGCTAAACAATGCTTTTTAAGAAGAACATGGCCTGATTAGAAAGTGAGCAAGCTGCTGTTCACATGGCTGCCACAGGCAAGCACAAGTGCTGGTTTCAAGGGATATCCTGGATAAAAGTAAGGCCTCTGTGAATATGAAAGCACACATGTCCCAACAGAGAGGTGCTAACAACAGGAAATGCAACCTAGTGAGCTGTACTTAAAAATACATGTAATTTATATGTGTCAGGATATTTGCCTTTGTTTCAAAGAATAACTAAGGTACTGAACCTCAATGTTATGACTACAGCCACCTCATGTAGCCTGATGGTACCTAAAGTCCTTCAAAATATCACTCCTTCATTGATGTACTGCTATACCAGAAGCAAAGATTTTATTGGACATGTTCTTCCAATAAAATTTTGCATCAAATTATGGAAACAAATTTGAGTGTGGTATTCATTTCATATTATGTACGTTCATGTATGAAAAGGCAAGGTTGCCAGGATGTTGTGGTTTTGGTTTGTTGGTTTTTTTAATGTTTGCTTAAGATTTATTACTTACAACAGAAACTGTAAAAATTCTGTGTGACACTTAAAATACAAGGAATTGTGGCAAATTATTTTAACTCTGAATATAAGTTACTAGTGTATGTTACAGGTAATAAAAATCTTTTAAACAAATTATCTTTTAAAACCCAAATTTAATCAAACTAACCAAAACAATTTAACATTCAATTTCACTAATCTTCATATTGAAATGTTTAATACACACATGCACTTCGAAGAATTATTCATCGTTAAACATGGAACGTGAATTTCCGGTAATTATATATCCGCGTGGTATTCTTTTTTCTTTCATGACAAGATCCAAAGCAATAAATTCCAAACTTTTCTTCTTCAGGGAAATTCAAGCCAAGTAGGGTGTACAGTTGGCTGTGGAAAAAGGGGTGGACGGGAGATGAAAGAGACTTGATTTCAACAAACATACTGCACTACCCATTTCAAGACGAACTTAACTATTAAGGAACTTAAGATAATGGCATAATGAAGGCATTCACAGTCTCATGCCAGTGCTGTGTCCTTCCCTTTCCTCTGCAGCACTACTTCAAATGATTAAGAAACTGTTTAGTCAACAGTTCAAGGTTGTTTTTTCCTCCTAAGAGCCTTATACTTTTAAAAAACCCCATTCTTTGGTACTGAACATAAGTATTTCCTCATCCTATATATATATAATTTTAACCAAAGTTTGTAATGACCCTTTGTTTCACCTTCACTAAACGCAGAATATTAACACAGACAACAGTTACATATATCATACGTATCATAGCAGTAGTCTTTCACATTGCATATTTAACACTTTAGATCAGTGTACTATCAGCTAAGTGCCAAGTTCTGCCTGATGTACACTGCATAAACAAAACCCAACTTCATTGTGATCATCAGTGGAGTAAAAAAAAGGGCACTAAATTCCATCCTGTTTTGAAGTGACTGACTCTACTACTGAAGGCAGTCAAGTTATTTCACAGATAAATATAGTCCAACATTGTTGTATCTTTCTTACTTATCTTCTCCAAGCTCTCCTACAGAGGCCAAAATTTACAAATTTATGTTCCCTGTCCATAAGCAGCAGCATTAGAAAAATAACTGAATCTGCAGGAAAAATTCAGTGTGCCTCAGAATAGAAGCTTCCACCAGTTAAAGTTAACACCGAGCACAGATTTAATACTGTTTTCAAACTGCCCTTTAAGCTTTTAAAAACCATTCTCATGACACTTAAAAATGGTAATCCTAATTTTAAAAAAATGAAAGAGGCCTCATTAGTGACAGATATACACACTTAAATTCATCCACAATAGCATATTCGGAAAAAACCAAAGTCAGAGAAGGAAACATGAGTCTCTCCCATGAAACTGACTACCCAAAGAAAGAGTCCAAGTACCCAGAGGAGTAACTCCCGCTCCTGAACATAAATGTAAACCCAACCTGGAACAGCAAATAACTGAGAAATGACTGAAAAATGACTCAGAATCATTTTAGGAGTAAAAACTATAACCTTCTTTTGTGCTGCACAATCGACAAGAATATCAGATTGGGTGATCCAACAGCAGGTCCACAGCAGTAGAGCTATGGTCTCTTTTGAAAAAAGCAACTAGACAGAAAATCTCTACAAGCTTTCTTAGAGCTGTGTATGTGGGGGAAAGAACAACTTCTCTAACAAACAGTGCAAACAATACAGCTAAGACGACGTCTTCGAGGGGGCAAAAACCTGCAATAAACAATCCTGGGAGGTTTACTCACCTTTACTATCCCACCATGCTGCATTCAGGGACAGCAAAGTTATATATGCTTGCTCGGGGGCTGTGATAAAAACCATTATGTGTAAGTCATCTGATAAATATTTAAGACTTCTAAATTCTACTGTTAAGAAACTTCTTATACTACATTCTGAGCCTTTCTAAAAATCACTAAAAAAACCCAAACCCACTAAATCACCACTTATCACCTGTATTTGCTAAAAAAAGCCAGCAATTTCTGGGGGTTTCTTTGAAACATCTTACAATTTGTACCAGGTTGTTGACTGTTCCAACAGCAACATAATTAATTTTGATAAGCAAACCAAGGCAATGTTTAAATAAAGAAAATCCCTACAACAAAACATTAAAGTAAAAACACTTCATCTGAACTTTAAGTATAATGTCGAAAATCTAGGGCAGCAGCCTACAGACACATTTGTTCTGAGACACAGATGCTGAGTACAGACTTTTGAACTAGTTTATACAAGTTTTATCCTTGACTTGCAAATTGCTACTGCATGCAATATTTAAGATGTGAATTCATAGTAGTAAGATACAATGTTTGCTCCACCTATTTCACTACCATTTACTATATAAATTCTATATGATTAACTGGAATAAAACTTATTTATGTGTTATAGTTAGTTATTAAAATGCTTTTTCTTGAGATTTATTAGAGATTTAGAGTTTTACCAGTATATTTTTCTTTTAATTGCTTTGTATTAAACACTTTTAAATACTCTCTTCTACCTAAAAATTAACTCCATAAATTGTGTCAAAGTGAGACATCACACAAAATAGCATGTGTGAAAGAACAAACAATACTCTCTAGTGGAATACCCATTTAAAGCCTGGCAGATCCCTGAAACCAAGGAAGCTTTACCAAAACTTCTTCCATTCTTCCCCATCACCCTTAAGTAAAACTCAGGAGGTAAGAGAACTTCTCAGAACTCGGCCTTTGCTTCAGAGGGTGTTATCTTAACCTATTTATTTCTAGCAGAAAGAGGTTCTGACATGTTCCAGTATTTCCTTAAATCAGTGGAATTCCACCAGCAGCAATTAAAACATGCAAACGAACAAAACATAATTTTCTAATGATTGTTCTGCTTTTTCCAGGGTTCAGATGCTTGCTCTTACTAAAGAAAGGGAGGTGAAAGTTCTATAATTCAGAGCACATCTCTGGAACTTCCAAGTTCTTTTCTGCCTGTTCTTCAAAGTCATATGGACGAGCCAGACTGATTCCATAAGCTACAAATCTACATTACTGATGCAAAGGACCTGAATGATAACTAACACTTCCTGTTTTGGGATTGACTCTGCACTAACACTGCTGCTGAACCAGAGGTGGAATATACAGTGTATGCTAATTACACACCTATACAGTCTCCAAACTTGAGATTTAGTCAGTCTCCAGCCAAATTTAGTCAGCCTCCAGGACAGGCAAGAATAGGAAGTCTTCCATGTTTTTCTAACTGGATGCCACATTTAACAGCCAAGCACCATTTTGCAAATGACACTAAGGAGCTGTGTAACTTCTAAAGGCACAGACCTATTTGTGTAGTAATGAGAACCGAATGAATGGAAGATGTATCAACTACTTCTACGGGGCATTCAGGGGTTTCTTCTATTCCGCTCCCCTCTCGCCCTACCCCACCTACATTCACCTTCTGGAACTTCAACATGTAACTCTGCTCTCCTTCTCACAAATGGACATGCAGACATGTACTTTCTGTAGGTTTAAGCAAACCTGACTGTTTTCACTCCCTTGATCTGCTAATGATTTTATCTAGCAACATTAAAATACAGCTTATTCATCTTTCAGTGACACCATAGGTTCCTGTATTTTCTAAGAAGCATCCTTTTCAAAATATTCAGGTGACACCAAGTGGTTAATTGTTGTACTGCTGTCTGCTCAAGACTGCTGTATAACAGTACTGTATATACTGTGTAAAAAACAAGTATTCTATTATGTGATAGGAAATACAGAAAGACACACCACAAAAACCAGAATGCCTTGAGATCATTAATCATAGCAGTCCAATCTTAAAGTTCCATCAAAGCAGCCCTTTCTCATTTACTTACCTTAGTCTGCCTATATGCTTTAAAAAATAAATAAAATAAATTAAAAAAAAACCACCAACAAAACTAACCTGTACACATTAGCAAAAATTAAGTGGCCAAAAAATTAGGTTCCTGTAAAAGACGTTACTTACCAGAAAGAATTACTCTCTATGTCATTTTTGTACACGCATGAAGAAGCATAGTCAGACTTTCCTCAAATCACTGCTACTTATAAAAAAAAACCAAACCAACCAACCAAAACCGCCAAAACCCAAAGAAAAACCACAACACATGGACCGGTGCAGCTTCAATCAACACATCAAAGCATGCAACAGACACTTCAGTGAGGAGGGATCCTCTGTCACATCTAGCAACTCTTCTTGAGCTGCAGATGTTTCTTTCAACACAGTGTATATATATATATATATATATATATATATATATAAAGTTGGAACAAAAACAACTGCTGTAGATTAGATAAGCAAAATAAGTTGTATTTTTAGACTCCTCAGGGCTATGTTTCAGTGCCAACATCAAAAAGAGGCCTTTTACCAACATGAAAGATGTGAATCTTTCAAAAATCAGCCTTGTATGTTTGTTTCAAAACAGGGCTCTGTATGCTCTTTGCAAGGCCAAATCCTCACAAACAAGAATGCACAGAGGCCATAAAAAGAAGGGAAAAAAAAAGTATAGTTAAAGATAACAAGAAAGCATTACTAGCACTAGGCCATTATGTAGACAGCTGTCAAAAACCAATCCTGGGATTTGGGAATTCTGCTAAATAACAATTAACATTAATTGTGATTGTATGGCACACTGAAGTGCTAAAAAGCTTTAAAATACTGATAATTTAAATCCACCTTAAAATCTTTTCCCTACAGCACTTCTAATTATAACTGAAGAGAGAAGAATCTCAACACATACTTTCTTCATTTGTTTAAACTTGTGTTGCATTCACGATTTGCCCACAACTGTGAATAATCATTCTTAATCTAACATTTTTTAATTTTTCTGGTGATTCCTCCCCAGAGAAGTATAGGAGAGAAAATATTATCTTTAGACAACACTACCTGTAAGACACAAAACAGGCAGGCATGTATGGTCAAGCATAAAACCTGAAACTGTCTTCATTCCTCTTCTAAGGAAAGCCTCACACAACTATTTTGAGTTTAGCACCCTTATTATCTTTTGTATTCAGGTTTATCTGGGTTATAAAAGTGTGGCCCCAATAGCTAGAAAAATAGGGAAACAGACGCTCAACCAGCAAAGTCCTGCTCACGTTGTGTACGAAACCAGTCACAGATACTTACTATTTTATTATTAAAAATAATCTCATCACTTTGACCATCTGAAAGCACCACCTTCTACTAATGCAAACCAAAGATACCACTGCTGAAGTGGAGACAATGTATAAATTTTTGCCCTTTGGAGGTTCTTCTTCCTCCAAGACCCTTTGGGCATGCCAAATAAAAAATTAGGAGAAGCAAGGACTCAAGCAAAAAGAAAAAGCTTATTTACATTTTAGCCATGCATTGGAAAAAAAAAAAAAAAAAAAGGCATCATAGTTAAGGCTGCAGTAAGTCTGCTATAAACTCATCCAAAGAAGAAATCTCACCACAGCCTACATATCAAGAGACTTCCAGAACAAGTTTAAGTAGCAGTACGAGGATGAGAAGGATGGCAACACTACTTTTAACAGTTTGCTATCAGCAACAGCTTTTCCAATTAACCAAAACTACAACAGGTGAGGGAAAAAACCCAAACCAAAAAAACCCAAACCCAAAGAAATGGGGGGAAAGAAGGGGGAACAGAAGGGAACAGAGAAGTCTTTCTTAAACTACCTCTCAGGAACAGCAGTGAAGCAGTCACCAATAGAACTGGACTTCATGTAACTTTTTAGTTACTATTTCTGCTTCCATTTCCCTGAAAATTTTGTTTCACTGGGCCAAAATTATGAATTAAATGTATTCTAATATACACTTCTTTATCTGTTCTCCTTTCTCCTCCTTGCATTCCTAAAGCAGACTCAAACTAAACTTGTGGATGCAGTCCTGAGCCCTGTATGCATGCACAGCCAATCAGAAAACCATTATTTCCTGTACTGTATGATTTCATTATGTTTCTATCCAGAGCTGCACTATACAGGATCACCAAGTCTGATGCCTCAGACACTGCCTGGCATAATAATAAATGGAAATAACAGTAATTGAAGTCAAACCTGTTTGTATTCCCTTGATATTATAAGAAACTCAGAAAAAATTTGTCTACCACCACTGAAAAACTAAACCACTTAAAATCCAAAAACTTTGGCATTGCTCCAATTCTGAAGTAAAATAATAGTAATAATAAAAAAATCCAGTCAACTTCTGACACACACTTAGACAAGAAACTGGTTTGTATTACCTGAACAAGCCTATCTTCTTCAATATAATTCTTCACTAAAAGAATTCCAAAGAAGAAAGAAGAACGGGGAAAGGGGGACAGAGAAGATAGAGATGGACTAAGACAAGTGGAGATGTGCTGAGGAGAATGAAGGGCAGAAGGGCATAGAAGGGCAAAGGAAAAGGACAGAGAAGGTCAAAGAAGAAGGCCAGAGCAGGGCAGATAAAAGAAGAGATTCACAAAGATGGGCAGAGATAGGCAAAAAAGAAGGGTGGTGTAGAAATAAAGGTAGAGAAGGGCAGAAAAGATGGGTGAAGGAGAAGGGTGAAGACAGATGGGCAATAGAGTGGAATGAGAAAGAGCAGACAAGGGCTGAAGGGGAAGACGGGCAAAGAAAGTCAAAGGGAAAGGGAGTCAGCAGAGCAGAAGGGTTAAGAAGGGCAGGAAAGGTCGAAGAAGGGCAGAAAAGGTGAAAAAATGGGCTGAGAAGATGGGACAAGAAAACAGGAAGATAAAGAAGTCAAAGTAGAAACACAAAGAGAGAAAGACATAAAGGGTAAAGAAAAGAAGTTTGAAGGATAGGGAGAGCAAGACAGACAAGTAAGGTGAAAAGCAAGGATAAAGTACAGTAGAGACCAGTGGAAAGTGGCAGAGAAGGGCAGAGACAAGCAGAAAGGAGCAGAGAGGCCAAACGAGAAGGGCAAATACTGACAGGGACAGGCAGAGAAGGGCAAACACTGGTGGTTGGAGGGATGACCCCTATGAAAAAGGGGTGGAGAGGGGACAGAGAACAGCAGAGAAGAACAGAAGAGCAATAAACATTGAAGAAGGGCAGAGAACTTGAGGGACAAGGTAAGACAGGCTAAGTAGGTCTGACCAGGTCAAAGAAGGTGAAGAAGGGCAGAGAAAAAGGGCAAAAGGGAAAGGCAGAAAAGGCTGAAGAAAGGCAGAAACTGGCAACGTCAGACAGAGAAGGTCAAAGAATAAGAAGGGAAGGGGGACAGAGAAGGGCCAAGAAAAGGGTGGACCAGGAAGGGGTAAATAAAGGGGGAAGGGAACAGGGAAAGGGCAAAGAAGGGGGGATAGTGAAGGGGAGATAGGGAAAAGGCACAGAAGGAGGGACAGGAAAGTGCCAAAGGGCAAAGAAAAGGGTATAAGGAAGAGGGGATAGGGAAGGGGCAAAAAGGGGAACAGGGAAGGGGCAAAAAATGGGGGACAGGGGAAGGGCTATCAAGGAGGGGCAGGGTAAGGAAAACACACCTGATTCTAGGATTCATTAGAAACCTCTTTTTGTAGTTACAGAAAAATACCTTGTTGGAAAAAGACTAGTGAGCATTCATTTCATGATACATGTCTACATTTACTGATGTAGACATGCTGTAAGAAACTATGCAACAAATGCACAAGAACATTACTCAGTAAATCAAAGAAATTACATGATGGTTCATAAAACTTGCAAAATTATAAAGATCAGTCCTATTTCATCTTCAAATATTAGAGAATGTAAAGGCCAGAAAAAGAACTAAGAAGAGAAACTATTCAAAATAACAAGTGGTATATACACAGCTGTGCCTGAGAGTGTGATTTATCAAACCATTATGGTATGGCTCTGTAAAAGCCTTCAAATCCAAGTAACAGATATAAAATTCTGATTTGAGCACGAAATTTAATCAGATGATGACTACAATTATTAATAAACAACGTGGCTGTAGAAATTAGTTCTGCAATCTGAATGGATTTTTATGTGTGTTGCATGTTCTGAAAAATGGTAGGCAGGAACTATATAGCAAAACTTTTATATTTTGTATTATTTATGTATTTTACTTTATAGAGCAACAGGGATAACACTGTCAGAACCGCAGTGATCTGTCTTCTTAGCTATGAAAAGAACAGATTTTAACATACCTTTTTATCAGATAAAAACTTCCCTTTTCTAATAGTTGCATACTATTTTTTAAAAATGCAATATACATAAATGAAGACGGTAAAACACAGACAGACTTTCAAATAAATTTTCAGCACCATAATCATCATACAGATGACTTAAGTCACTTAAATGTCATCTAGTTTTTCCTTATACATCATTACAGTAGGCAAATGCAAGCAAAAATGACCCTGGCATTGGACTGTTCAGACATTTACACAGTGTTTCTTCAGTGCTCTCATCTGATGGTCTAGACTCAACTGATCCAAGAACCAATGCTTCTGCAGACTAGCTTATACTTTACATGAAAATACACACACATGACAAGATACATACACAAAGAACAACTTTAAAGCAATAGCTCCAGTTTTCAGAACTAATCAAAACTGTTAATGCTTACCTAGATGTAAAAGTGTGAACTGTGCTGCCAATTCCTTTGCATCTTCTACCGTTGTACAGAGTTTTTCTGGCATGAAATAACTCTGGGAATCATCTGCAATACTAGAAATAAGCACCCTGTACACCAAGAGTATTTTCCCATCCTGACTTGTTGTTGAATACAAGCAGTACTCTGGCGGTGCCCAGCTATTTTTATGACAAAAATAATCCAGATGCATCACTGCAGAACTGAAGTGATTCAGCTTCAAAGAATACATGCTAATTGGAGTAAGCTTTATTCCTGGAAAAAAAGGGTATGTACTTCTTTCAACTTCAGGGGAGCTTGGACTGTGCTGGCCATTAAGACGAACTGAAAGACTTGCTGGTTTCCCCAAGGATTTTTGAGTACCATCTTCTTTGTTGGGAAACCCTAAGAGATTTTCAGAACTGGGACTTATCTGACCATTAAAGTGTTGCTTCCAAGAACTTTCTTTGTTAACTGGCTTTGCCAGTGTTACCTCAATACTGGCTCCATCAATGCACTTTCCATTCATTACAGACATAGCAGCAACTGCATCTTCTCGGTGGAAAAAATGAACAAAAGCATAGTCTCTCAACTTCTTTACACGTTCAACTACTCCTGGCTTGAACTTGTTGAATTCAGCTTTAATTTTGTCCTCTGTAGTAGATATCATTAAATTTCTTACATACAATACTTTAACTCTCTGCATAGTTTCTTCATCAACTACTTTCTCAGGATCTGCCCAGTCTACTTGAATAGTATGACCCCAGGGCTGGAACGTTCCTACAGCAAAGAAGCATTATGTAAATAAGAGACATGTAAAGGAAAACAGAAGCATTCTTATCAACTACCTCTACAAAAAGCAAACATGATGTATACCACATGAAACTGGGTTTTGTTGCCTGCATCTGCTCAAGCAACTTGGAAATGTTAATGAGATTTTTCAAAAACGCTACGTGTTCTATCTGTACCCTTAGGGCTCATTAAGCACCATAAGCTGTCAAAACAAAGACTTTGTGACGTGCATATTCACACATACATAAAGAGACTAAAAGTAATGCATTTTACCAGCTAGTAAACACAGCCTCTTCAATAATATGACCACTTTAAAAACTTTAGTCAACACCTGGAAAAAGTAATCTAAATATATATCACTAGCACAAGCCTTACTCCATCTTATAGCAGATGCCAGAACCTAAAAAAAAAAAAAAAAAAAAAAAAAAAAAAATCCAAAACCAAACCCACTTTGTTACTCATATCAACCCATCATTTTGCATATCACACAACCAGTTTATTTTATATTCAGTGATCTGGAGGTATTTCTCCCACTACTTAGCATATATATATATATATATGTATATATATATATGTATGTATGTATGTATGTATGTATGTATGTATGTATGTATGTATGTATGTATGTATGTATGTATGTATGTATGTATGTATGTATGTATGTATGTATAAATAATTATATATGCATACACATTCTACATGTAATTCTATGTGTTATACTATTATATTTTATTATTACCTATTGCATATATTACATATTATACATTGCACATTTTATATTTGCATATATATAATATACATATTATATAATCTTAGGTAACACGTCTTCCTAACACTCTGTCAGCAGTCAACACAAGACTTGCCCACATCTTGGCCTTAATAAATACAGGGAGTTTTGCCATTCATTTCAGCAAGGTCGATGCTGTATTATCTGTTTTCATGACTTTGCTTCTTCAACTCTATTGTTTTGTTTCATCTCCTGTCTATTTAATTTCTCTTCTAGAATTTTGCTTTTTAACTCTAACTCTATTCCCTCCTTTTTCAGCACGTTCAATTCCTTTTACTTTCCCTCCCTCAAAATGTATAAAATAAGGTGCAAAGAAAAAGGTATCTTCTACTCCGTAAACTCTTAAAATTATTTTCTAGTAAAAGATTAAAGACCTTTCCAATACGCTTAAATAAAACACCAATAACACCACTCATGACACCCAAATAAGGGACATATGCAAAGCATTATAATTTTTAAGCTCAGTTTTAAGAGAATTTGTGTGCAAGGCCTCGTGCATGTAAATGAAAACCGCGTGTGTGCCCATGCAAATACATATCGGTGTAAATTACAGTAGCTTGTGTTTATAAAACTGATGTCTATTTTGGATAGTCAGAATTGTTTCAATTTCAGTTTCTTACAAAAAAAGTAAAAAAAAAACCAAACCACAAAACATAAAAAAATAGTAATTAAAAAAAAAATCCTCCTTAGCCAAAAGGCACTACTGCAGTTTTGTACTTCTGAAAACGTCTTAAAAATGGAAAACGGGGATGATCCACCACCTTGCTCCCCACAATTGGGAGACAGATACTCCCCACAAAAACTCAGTTGAATTACAAACAGTTTTACCTGGGATTAGTCGTCTTCTAGCCATGGCAGCTGCTCTGTGAGATTCATATTCTACAAAAGCAAAGCCACGATTTTTAGTTTTGTCAGTGGCATTTGGATAAACAATGACATCCACCACTCCTTCTGTAACTTTCTTCATTTCATTCAGTATTTCTTCTTTCTTCTTATCTTTAGGAATTGCTCCAATAAATAGCCTGCAGTTGTCCAAGCTTACGCAGACACCAATAAACTTCCCTGGACGAATTTCATAATTATTAAGAATCTTGATGGCTAGCTGGGCTTCCTCTTTAGTGGTGTACATCACAAAAGCATAGCCTCGATTCTCACCACTGAATTCCATCATCAGTCTGAGCTCATAGATCTTCCCAGCTCTCTCAAAAACAGGAACTAATTCATCTTCGTACATATCACGAGGAATCTTACCCACAAAAACTTCACATCCACGAGGTGGTGGAGGACCTTCCCAACCTTAAAATAAATTGTCCAACAGCAATCTTAGTACAAATGCCAGAAAGGCACACTTCCCCCACACCCAATTTGAAGATGTAAGTTATTTTTAATCTCAACTGAAAACTAGCACATTTTCATCCATTCTTTCTTATTTTTATTATGTTTAAATAAAAAATACCAGAAGCCCACAGATTGTATTTCTCTTAATTTCATCTTCTGGGTTTTTTTCCCAATGGAATCTGTGTGACAACACAGTGAACTAGGGTATTTTAAAATACTGACAGGTTTACTAAGAGTCTACCTTTCAATCATTTTTTGTCCCTTATAATTTTATGTCAGTTATTAATGAAGCTGACAGAGACAACTGAGAAAGAACTTCAGGTGTATTTTCTACTGCAACATTTTAAAGTTGCACAAAGTTTCTCTGCATTTCTTGCCCATATTTTTAGACATTTTGGTAAGGGTCCCAAGTGCAGCACATTTTTTCATCCTTGACATCATTCAAAAAGTCCAAACATTTTGCTTCCACCTTTTTCATTCCTCCAATAAAATAGGACTCCTTAAGGAAGGCAGGATATGGAGCCATCCTTTCCTCAACAGCCAAAAAGACTGAACAGTTATCCTCTAAAAACAGACCACAGTTTTCACAGGCTGGAGTGTAGGAAAAAAGGAAATAAATTAAAAAAAAATCCACAGAACAAGTCAGTCTCAGGCTGACATCTGAAAACAAGAACATCAATGCCTCTCTCCTTAAGCCAAGGACATTCACACATTCTTTTATATCTCTGTCATATACGCTAAAGGATATGTTCAACAGATTATGTAAAAACGAATTCATGAATTTAAAAATATAGAGTTATGGTCTGCAAAATAACAGCACTTCATTTTCCCAAAATAATTAAAAAAAAATCTTAAACATTTTGTTTGGTTTTGTTTCTTTTTTTTTTTTTTAATTAGACAAACAAATCAGGTAGAAGGTTCAAAAAAAATAAAAACCACAAAACTCAGTAAGTACTAGTAAGGAATCACAAAGCAAAGGGAAGCAAGGTGAAAAAATAATTACTGATGACAAGTTAAAACAAGAAGCTAATTAAATAACTTACTTTGGTTTGAAGTTCAGAATAAAATATATTTAGATGATTTTGTAATTAACACTTTTTCCTTAGGAATTGTCAAAGAGCCTGTAATTTACTTGTGAAAAAAAAAATTAACAGAATTGGGAAAATTTTGCCTTCTCACAGAACAATTTTTTATCTATAAACTGTACACTAATTGTACACTAAGAACTACCTGGTATACAGGGAAGCTACCAAGGCATCAGAACTGATATGCCTTTGGAGCCACACTGCCATGACTTACCTAGGAAAAAGCCTGTCTCTGTTCCACACAGCATTCAACATCTTTACCATTTTTAGCTTTATAAACCACTTCACCTGAGGTCTGACCAGACATAAAAACTAACAATATTTGCAGGCCAGTACTGCCATCACTCACATCGTGCCAGTCGGTTCCCACATAAAAAGCATAAACCAATTGCACACCACTTAGGAGCTCCAAAGACAAAAGCAACTGCACACCTCAGTCTGGGAAAAAAGGGAGGAGGCTACGCTTGATTGTGCAGACAAGCCATGAAATTAAATAACAATCCTCATTCATTAACTACACAAATTTCAACATCATTCTCAGCCTAGCAGCAGTGATTCTCAGCAAGTAAAAGCCATCTACTATACAAAAAGCTCCCTTTCTAATTTTAAAGCTCCATACTAACTTAGCATTACAGCACATTACAGCTAACTGGAGCAAGCTGGGACTCTTGACTTAAAGAAAACTGGTCTGTGCCTCATTTGCCAAAGAGTGTCATGTACTTAGCAGAGCAAACATGGAAAATTAATCAAAAGCAATCCTCAAGTAGTTGACCAGAGAGTTTCCTTGACTGGGTATTTGATTCATCACTGGATGATAGAAAATGGGACTCCTATTTTTGCAACAGTTCAAGTAATCAAACTTCAATCAACATTACAGTTATAATCTTCTCACTGTTAGTGAGATCCATGCCATCTTAAACTTCCATGTAATCTAATGATTTACACACCTAATGACATCATTATCTCTGCAGCCATCCCAAACGAAACAATGAAAATTCAATTTTGTCTTTTTTTTTTTTTTAAACACTCTACAGATACATTTTCCACAATCAGCATAAACTGAACAAGAAGTGTGCTGCTGCCAGGTGGAATAAAACCTGTAATTCTTTACAACAATTTTCACGCAGATCTGCTGAAAACAGAGCTGACATTGAGTCTATCCCTTGGCAGCAATACAAGTTTTTAGAAACCACATCTTAAACAGGCAAAATTCATAGTGAAGCTCTTAATTTACAAGGTTATTGTAGTTACTCACAAGCTGTCTCAAACATTCAAGTCTCATCTCGCCTAAAACCATTTATAGTAACTTAGGGCAATTTCCAACCTAAGCAAGTATGAAAATACATGAAGATTTTAAGGAGAGGTATATAACTAATGTCAATGAGCAGATTTATGGAAGAGATACCTTGTCAAACACATCTACTTTCAGAAAAGATTAACAGATTAATAAAAGTTGCTTTGCTAAACAAATACACGTGATACTGTCTAATATTCTAATTAAAAGTCAAAATTATAATGTAAAAAATGTATAAATAATTTAAGAACAGGCTGAACCCTCAGGAAGTAGCTAGTGATACCCTGCAGTTCTTTTCCCAGTGACAGTTTCACAAGGCTTCCTTTTGCTATTTTACATAGGCTAAGTAAAAGTATATACAAAATCTTAGGTGGAAAAAACTTTCAGAGAGAAATAATTTTGATGCAGCCATATCTTAAACTATAGCAATAAGTAATGCAGTTCATGCTTATGAGCATGACTTATAAAGACATGGGATCACAGGCCACAAGTGAGAATGAACTGAAATAGCAGCACAAATAATTTGTCTGCCTTCTGTTTAAGTGCATAATCTGATTCAAAAAGAAGAGTTACTGTATTGCATTTCATACGACCAGGATTAATGGCAATAGCAAAATTCCTGTACATTGCTTATGTCAACAAGGACACTGCAAAAATTATTTAAAATAAATGTTTCATAGTCAACTCTGAAAACAAAATGAGTTAGATTATCTTCACTGGTGTTCTCTCAGAGCACAGATTTAAAAAAAAATGCTTTGGCCAATGGAAGTGGTAAGGGGTAAGACAAGAAATAAAGTAGGTTACGCTTCCATCACCAACTTGTTTTTCCCTTCTGTGCCACTAAACATTTTCAAGTGTATTGTCACTCATACAGAATATGCTCTGCATTTTCAGCTCCACATTTATTCTGTTACCTGTCCACTTTAGCTGCTTTTAAAGCTGTGACTTCTTAAATCCACCAAAAGCAAACATTCACCATAGTCTAGCTCAAGAGATCTTGAACTGCTCTAAACAGTAAAGCATATCAGGACCCTGCACATGTTGTGTTTCTTACAGTTTCCTTAAGCTTCTACTACTGGTCACTGTCAAGATACGCAACCTGAGGCTACACAAATTTTCAGTTTGATTTAGTACAGCTCTCCTTACAGAGAGTAAACTTCATAATCTCAAAAGAAATGCTTACCTGGTGGAGGACCACCAAATTTTCTTTGCCCATTTTGTTGAACCATGCTGTATCCAGTCTTCTCCATCAGGGCAAGTAAAGCAGCCCCATTCTGAGCACCACTTCGGATTTTGCCACATCCGTTTGCTGCAGTTTTATTTTCTTCATGCATATCTGCAACAGCTTTAACAGAACATTGCAGACATTCCAATTCAGCTAATGCTAAATTGTTATATGCACACAGAAGCTACCAAAACACAGAAAAACAATTCAGGCTATACTGCTTATTTACTGTTACTTTGTTTAGCATAAGGTTTCAATCCTAAATCTAATCACTGTAATCTTAGCTATTTGCTTTCAGACATTGTTCTGTAGCTGTGATAATCTTGAACTTTAACCAGCAACTATATATTCTATATTCCAATTCTCACAAGTAGTATCACAGCTATCACAACATAAGTATCATAGCTACTTTTTAAGAATGCTGCCCTTAAGTAGAAGAATAAATTCTTCCATCAACCATGTTATCGCAGTTGTGTAAGGGAGAAACTACTCGGAGTGACATTTTCTTATTAATACATTCCATAAAAATATCGGTTATTTCACAACTGTATTTTAGTACAAAAATATCAAAGAAACACATGCCTTATTAATTTAAAGAACTCAAAGAATTAATGAACAAAAGTAAATTAATTAATACCAATATGTAATAAAATTTAGCAGAACTCTCTTGCAAAACTACGGGTTTGAAATAATCCCACCTCTGGAGTCCCTATTTTCATGGCTTTATCCGTTTTCACAATTTCAAAAACTAAACAAGTTTATCAATATGATTGCTGCTGCTCTATCCATTATTCCTCTGGCATGCCAAGATCTCACACAACAACTTTAGGTTTCTATCATCCAGGTGATGGGAAACAATCACACCATTTGGTAATTACCAACTTTACTAGTCAAGCCCCTAAAAAATTAACTTTCAAGTTACTACTTTGAGCTCAATTATCCAAATGAAAAAAATTATCTACGCAGATTGTTTATTTTACCTGAGAGCTAACTATTTAACCCCTTACCACTAGCAGAAAGAAGACCTAGTAAAAATAAAGCCAAATAAACCAGCAAAAATAAATATTAGTAGCTAATATACCAAATGTTATCACACCCATCCTTATATATAATATGTTGTCAGATGATTGCTGGTCACCCTAAGCAAGCTTTTGCCTCCACACACAAAACAGTAACCACACCTATGCTTACTACTGCTTTTATTCTTCACTTACACGTTCCACTGAAAACTACCCCAGTATCTCAAATTAAAATGATTTTGCACAAGCTGAAGTTTTCAAAATATTATACACCAGATTTACGCAGTGATGAAGTGACTGCTCCCCTGCCACATTTACGCACGTTATGCAACGTTACTGTCCAGAAGTGGCCTCCCCCCATCATGACCCAGCTTTGTCATTTCAAATGTGCTTTGAATGAAAGTAATAACTGTTCTTCAGTGCATTCTTTTCACGACAGCCTTCTTAAGACATTACAACAAACTTCACAAATCTCTTCATCAGAATGGCAATAAAGAGAACTGTGATTTTTCCCATCCTAGAAAAAAAACAATTTTTGGTGGGAATAGATCTATTTTGTCTTTTCTATAAAGCTGGTATTCATTTTGGGGCAGAAATCCATGCAAACAACCACTCTGGGGAACTTTATATTAGACATCTGTCACCGGACACTAAAAAAACCAAACCCCTAACAACTCCTAGCTACATCAAAATGAGATTCCAGAAAAGAAGCAGGGAAGAGAACAAAAAATTCCCCAGCAGGAAACAGCTGTAACAGCACTACTCCTTTCTGCTGCAGAAAATGTCCCATCTCCTTCCAGCAAGTGAATTAGACTTTTTTCACAGCTGCACGGAAGAGATACCTTGTCAAACATAATTCCATAATTAGGAAATCTTTTGGCAGCTTCAGGCCTAACAAGGTGCGGAAATAACAACAGAGTTGGAGCAAGGGAGAGGCAAACTGCTTTTCCCTCTGTCTCGTTGAGTTCAAACACATGTGAAAGAACGCCGTTTTCAGTACGCACAGCAAGGGGACACCTGTTTGGAATGACGGGAGCTGACGCCCACAGGGGCGAAGAAGCCCTGAGGAGCTACAGCAGGCCCATGGAGGAAGCGAGCCAACCTCGGGCGGGCCCGAGGGCACCAGCGTCACGCCAGGAGGCACGGCAGCATGTGGGGCAGGGAGGGAAGAGAAGCCCAACATCCCCGGAATCACCCAGCGCTCCTCCCGCGACTCGCATGTCAAGGCCCCTTCTCCACTGCGCCTCGTCCCTCACCGCGCTACCTCCGCCTCTCCCCACGGCGTGGCAAGGACCCGAACCCACCGCTATCCCCAGGGAGACGAGGCCACGGCATGACTGCCCGTTGTCCCGTCGGGAGCAGTACACCACACAGCGCTGCCCGGGACGGCGGACACACTGCAGCAAACTCCACGTCCCCTCCCCTTCCCCGGGCAGCGGCGGCCCCTCCACCCAACGCCTCACGCGCCCGGCCCGCAGGCACAGCTTTCCCTCGCTCGGGCCCGCCCGGCCAATCTGCGGGCGCGGGGGGCGGGCACAGGAGCGATCGACAGGCAGCGTCAGCCAATCGCGACGAGGTAAACGTGCCCGGCACGCGAGCGCTTCTTAAAAGCGGCGACGGTTGGGCGAAGGGGTCCGACTGCCGCGTGCGCGGCGGCCGCTGTGGCGGTTGGGGCGACGCGCGCTGCCCCCGCCCGCCCTCGAGGCGCGCGCGACGTTGCCTCAGCAGCTCCCATCCCGCTCCCCATCCCCGATCTTCCCCTCCATTCCAAAAGGAGTGTCAGCTGTTAAGGGCACCGTTCGCTTTTTCAGAATTTGGCTGGTAATTTTTTTGTGTCCTTTTGCTTATATCTGCTCTGAAAAGGTGTGTTTGGGCCTTTAGGATGTTGTCTGGTGCACATCTGTGCCCTAGGGGGCATTTAGTGTTGTGCAGGTCCATGCTGACCAGTAATATCTAAGTGAAATATCACAGAATCAGTTATGTTGGAAAAGACCTCTCAGATCATTGAGTCCAACTTATGACCAAACCACCACCTGTGTCTCCTAAAACGCTTCCATCAATGCTGTCTTTGTACAATCCTAAACATCCACTGGTCAGATTATGTGACCAATACGTCTGTTCTAGAACAAGCAGCTGTCACAAGTATGGAGGGCATGTTGCTGAGAACACAGCTGCATGGGGCAGGGCACATCTCAAGGATGTAGGACCACCGCCTCCCTAAGATCTTGCTTTATGGTGAACTTGCCACCAGCTGCCGCAAGAGAGGAGCCCCAAAGAGAAGATACAAGGACTCCCTGAAACAACATCTCAGCCTTGGCCATATTGATCAACATAACTGGTCTACTCTGGCCTCAAATCAGGAGGCCTGGAGACACACCATCTATAACGCTGCTGATGCCTTTGAGAAAGCACGCAGGATCACTCTCGAGGAGAAAAGACAATGCAGAAAGAATCGTGCCTTGCAGAATACACCACCTAAGGAGTCTTTCTGCTGTGCCTTTTGCAATCAGATATGTCTATCTCGTATTGGCCTTGTTAGCCACCAGCTGCTTGTAACAAATGTGGATAGAGCCTTCCTAAATCTTCATTCGTGAAGCCTAGCCATGATGATGATGACCAAACGCCACCTTGTCAACTATATCCAGTCTTCCCTTAAGCACCCCCTGAGACGGTGACTCCACCATCTCCCTGGGCAGCCCACTTCAGTGTCTAATCACCCTTTCCGTGAAGAAATTCCTCCCGATGTCCAACTTAAACCTTCCCTGATGCAGCTTAGGGAATGGCCTGAAGTTGTGTCGGGGGGGTTTAGGTTGGATGCTATGAAAAGGTTCTTCACCCAGAGGGTGATTGGGCACTGGAACAGGCTCCCCAGGGAAGTGGTCACAGCACCGAGCCTGACAGAGTTCAAGAAGCATCTGGACAATGCTCTCAGGCACACGGTGTGATTCTTGGGGATGGTCCTGTGCAGGGCTGAGGGGTGGACTCGATCCTTGTGGGTCCCTTCCAACTCAGCACATTCTATGATTGCATGTCCTCTTGTGCTATCACTGGTTGCCTGGGAGAAGATAGGTCTGTTTTCAATCTCTGCTGGCTTAGTTAATACTTCAGTCTTTTGGAAATGAACCCCGTGAACTTCATAACAACTACAGATGCTTATAAAGCCAGTTGGGTCGGAGGCCCTGCAGTTCTGGCACTGCTCCTGAACTCCCATCACAACTCCTTAGGGCTCATGTGAGTAGACACACATCAAGCGTACCAGGGCTAATAAGGAGTGTAGGATTAGTTAGTGAGTACTTCAAGTTGTTTTTATGAAAATAAGATTAAATTTCACCACCTTTTCATTTCAGGTGCCTTCTTCTCTCCCACCTTCTCTCCCCCTCACCCCTGTCCAAATCAGCCACGAAGCCTTTCACAGGAATTAATTTTGGGTATATTACATCAAATTAAGTTTGTGACATTTTGACTGCAGCTTTGTGTCCCTGTTACCTTGGAGACTGCTCACTCCCTGGCAGAAAACTCCATGTATCTCAGTTGTTATTGCTGGTGGGAAATACTGAAAGAATGCAGGCAATCTCTTTTACATCAAAAAAGAAAAAACACCCAAACCCACAACTCCTCAGCATTTTCTTTGTATGTCATGTAAGGGACATCTTGCTGGATATTTTGCATGTACAACCATTTCTGGAGTACAATGACTGTGTTGCTCTAGCAGACAGTCTTAAGGAAAACATACAGATTTGCAATCAGATTTTTCACTTTTTGGCATGATTAAAAGAGAATATCAAAATAACCAAAAAATATTCAATGTTTACTACCTCTTATTAAGCATCAAAGACAGACATAGGAACTATAGGGACCAAACACATTTGGTTTTCTTGGTGACCCCTGCCTTTCTAGAAGAAATTAATGATACGTTTCTTCCTCTGCTCCCCATGTGGTAATTGGGTATTGGAGTTCTCAGTACACCCTTGCCCACAGGTGCTAGCTGCTTTTCTTCTCTGACAGTCTGTTCAGTATAATTAGGTTTTACTAAGAACAACTGTTTCCATCCTGTATTTTTCTTGGATTTTGCTGTGACCCGTAATAAAAGTCTGAGCTGAATATTTGTATTTTTTTTTTCTGATAAGACAAGATTTACAGGAGGATGCAATATTTTTTATTAAATCAAGCAGTGTAGTAGATAATTTTCATATTTTCAGAAGAGATTTTACACACATGAAAGCTTTAATTCACCTGTTTATAATGAACTTTTGCTAAAGGATGGGAAAGAAGACCAGGCCCCAAACATTGTTTTGGTATTTATCACAGTATTTAGGTTTTTATTGTTTTATTGAATTAGTACCTTAGTACATAGCTGTTCAGCTTTCAAACCTGATAAACAGAAACCTTTTTAGGATTATTTTACGAGAATTACAGCATGATTTACCAAAAAGCATTTGGCACCAGTTCTGGTTAGGAAATTACTTAAAACTGCAAATAATATACTATTTGCCCTAAAGCTTTAAACTATTAACACTGAGTTAGTTTCCTCACTAATGTCTAGTTGAAACTCTCACAAATCTAATGGATGAGGAATGCGGGCAGAGTCTTGCCAAAATTATGCACGTATTCCTTTGGCTAGATTTGAAAATGTGAAAGAGGTCTTTTTCTTACACATTTTATTTTATAGCACTGCACCAGACAGTGCTTTTCCTTCTAAGTTATTTTAGGTAGCTGTAACATAGAAGTCCTTGATGTTTAACTTCTGTTTTATTGGAATGCTAGCAAGCCCCAGCATATATATTCCTGGAGTGGGCTATTACTGCAGTTGTAATATACTTTAATGGAAGCATTAGCTGTTTTTTGGTCAGTGTAAATTTTACTATGGCCTGGAGCAGGAAAAGAGGGCATGTAGTATTTCTCTGCCCTCTGACAGGTTTGATATGTAGGTAGTAGAAATACTTTAAAAGGAAGCAGACATCCTTTGAAGTTTAGACAAAGGTCTCTGCAGAAAACCTAGACATAATATGATTGTAAATCTAATTATAGGAAGCTGTCTGGAAAGACTTCGTTTCAGTCAATCAGTCCATTTTATTTTGGATTTCATTTTATCAAATACTGCAATGCTTGTTTGTTAGGAGGATCCTAGCCTGTAGTGCCTAAAGGGACTTTTTTCTTGAAAGGTGCAGTTTGCTCTTGTTCAGCTTTCTGCCTTAAAGAGTTGAAATCTTTTTTAATTATAAAATTACAAGATCTGATATTGCTGGAATAAGCATTTGGGGGAACAGAATATTACTTGTAGAGAAAACATCATACAGAATTCCATTATTTTGTAAACCACTTTAAGAGACATGCCACACGATTTTAACATGCACATATGCAATGAATATGGAAAAATGGATCCTGAAGCACGTTCTGTCTTCGGTTTGATGAGTATGAATAGCAACAATTGCACTGATGTAAATTGAATCAAATCAACTTTAAGCCAATATTGCCAAGTGCAAAATGTGCATTAAGAAAGTGTATAAAATCTCTTTTAATGTTTTTTCCCCCATTATCTCCAGAACTATTGCTTTCTGTTCCCTCTAAAAACCTGGGCCCTTCACAACAAAGCCATACCTTTTACCACTGAGTGAAATGGCAGTTTTCTGGCAATACAGCTAACTCCCAAAGGGAAGGAGCAGGTGGAAAGTGCTGGAAAAAGTAACACCACCAAGGGTTGGTGGAAGAAGAGGTGGATGTCAGGAAACAGAAGTGATGAAAGGACAGGAAAGAGGGAAGGGCCAAGGAAGACAAGGAATCTTGTCCTATAGTGCTGCAGTCTTTTGATGCTCCACCATTGCAGAATGCTTTCCAGTCTGCTTTTTAGGCAGATGTTTTAAATGCATTCTGAAACAGAGGCATATCCTCCTCACCTCTGTGCAATAGGATTTAAAGAGGATTGGTGAGAAAATGGCTACTGCCCCAACAACCTTGAAATCAGAGTTTTCTTTACACAAGTATGTGAAGCACAAAAAACTACAGAGCAGGCTTCCTTTGTCACACCACTGGTGTCTCAGTCCTCAGCTGGGAGGTTCGGAAAGATCAGAGACAGTCTTCACTCAGTCACTGCTCAGTTTTTTATTTCTGTACAAATATTGCCAAAAAATATTTGAATTTGTGGTAGTTTCTGTGAAAGTCTTAGAGCATGTCTCAGTATTGGAACCAAACAGGCATCAGATGTCAGACTGTAAAGTCTTTGGTTATACCTGATCTGACCTAGATATTAAATGGAAGTTTATCAGGGAGGCTAAATACTTTTATATCATGTTAGCTTTTGAATATTTTATAATTCTGGAAATAAATTAAATTGAGTGAAACAGTAGAGAACAAGATTTCATTTTACTTTTCCTAGATTTAAATATCTAAATTACCTTTTGAGTAGTTTGAAAAATGGAGAGTGTCCACTCTTTCTTTAGGTTGCTCATACTTGGCTTTGAATTCCTCCTGATTCTGAGAATCTCAAAAGTCATCAATGTATCAGGATCACATCCTCTTAATTTTTAATCCAGCTGCCGTAAGCTGCTAACTAGCTTTTAAATTAGGGAACTCTGGACTCTCAATGCCAATTATAGCTAAACAATTTACAATGCTTCAACGTAATTTTCTTTATATTTTTCCTGAGGCTTTAAGGATATAGTGATTTGCTTGGAGACACAATTAGGAAGGTCTGAAGCAATGTTACCTGTTGTTTTGTGTGTTTCATTTATACACATACACCCATATTTTTATATATTTGTGTCTTATACACACACAGAATCCCATGACTTCTCTTTGAGGTTTCTTATGGTGTTCCTTACTACACCTAACAGAATGGTTTTTAAATGCTTTTCTGTATCTAGCTATTGTCTTTCCTACAAAGTCTAGTGACACAACCAAAACTATGGTGAAAAACTAAACTACATTGTGGGCAACTATATATATATATACAAAATCAGTGTTATGCAGCTTAGCTATTCCTTCCTGATTTCTGGTTAGATGTTACAACAGTGAAACAGGAATTCAAAATCAACATTTCTAAACCTACTGAGCAGTTACACCGACTTTTTAAATATCTGGCTTGTTCTTTAAATGTGAGTTCCACAGTGAACTTCTCTGTTTGCTGGAGATGGTGCGTTTTCCTGACTGTAAGAGAGCCACTAGGTGGGAGTATGTTATCTTAAAAGACGCTTGGTCAGCCCCGGCAGTGGTTATTTTGCAGGAGCTCTGCAACTGAAAAAAAGGAGTACTATAAGTTCACGTAGGGTAAGAATATTAAACAAGATTAAATGAATGCAAGCTTTAAAGCTGGAAGTTTGCGAATTGTTGCTTACATAAACTTTTGAGAACATAGCATAGAATCATAGAATAGAATCATAGAATCATAGAACATAGCAATACTCCATCTGTACCCGTACCCTGTCCCAGACTGCTCACTGTTGCTTGTTGGTGGAGAATGATACGGGGCTAAACTCCTTGGATATTGCCAAATTCATTACTGATTTCCTGTGATGATTAAAAATTTGGCCCTCATCTATAAGCTCAGGGTGCTCAAAGGTAGTAAAGTTATTAACAGTGTCTGCTTGTCTTTCTGCAGCTCTGGACTGAGAGTCCAGTTTTCCTAAAGATTAATGGGAGTAGTTTTGTTCACAGAAAAAGATCTCAGAAGCCAGCTGAACAGTGCATTGCCTAGACGAGCAAAAAGGTGGTAGAAACAAAAGTGGCAGCACAAAAGCAACCATCTGTTGGCAGCTGCCTGAATAGATTTGAAAATCTACATTAAAAAAAAAAAAGCTGCACAGTTTATGACCTGTAGGATTCTTCAGATCCTAATTCTGTGTAATTCTGTGTTCAGTCATCGGGGGCTCATTTCTGAACATCGTTATTAAATTTTCACAGGTTCAAGTTTTTGGGGAGGTCAGGGAATTGGTGGGAATACTTCATACTTCCTCTTGCTCTCTATGAAGACAGAAACAAAGCTCCTGTTGCTTTCAGCTGAAAGACACATAACCCAGTGATGCTGTTGTAATTAAGAAGCCTGGAGTACTACTTACTGAATGATAGATCAAATGGGATAAGTTGGGTTTTTTTAAGTAACTTCTCTTACTATTTTTTTAAATTAGGATCAAATGTTTCTTGTATAAATAGACATTTTGCTCACTTCCCAAGTTCCCTTCCTACTCAATTATACAGTGAGCTCACAATTAATGTCAGAAATCCACTCTCCCATAAGAACAGACTATTGTTGCAAGCACAATTTTGTATTTAATTGCAGGATTGAGTCCTGTCTGTTAGAGAGCTTTTAATGCAGAATGAAAAATGCAAACTAGAAATTTACTGAGGGAAAGTAACTTCTGTAACTGGTTTGGGTAGATATTTTCAGTTTGCTTGTAAAAATCTATTTGCAAGTCATAAAAGCCTCACTATAATTTTGAAAAATGTTTCATGACTATGCATCAGCTCTACTGCCTGTGCAATTCTCAATGCTTTAACAGTATTAGTTACTGGAATTGCTCAAAGACATCAGAAATAGAAACACTCTGTTCCTACTGGAATTTCAGTTAATTGGCCAAGCAGAATTACTGCTTTCTCCGGGCAAGTTTTTGAAAAGACATTATTCCCAGCCTACACTCTGTCTGTCAATACATGATAAAATTGTCTTTCTAAAATAGTTACTTGTGGAGTGGTTACAATGGAGTGATTCTTTCTTAACTACAGTGTGATCAAACATACATGCTGTCAGAAATTGGGAGTAATAACTAAAAGAATACAGGAAGCTGTCTTTACCATGCAGTCATCTGTGCTAAATGGCTGATGTACTGGATGAAGAAATGTTATTTTTACCTATTTGTTAAGGCCATGTCCTAGCTTATTACACATTTAGATTTCCAGAGGAGCTGAGGTTTGTGTACATCCTGAGCTTGATGAAAAACTGAGGAATGGGATGTGGTAACATGACTGTGGATATCACCAGCTATATCTTCATGTATACTTCAGGATTTGCAGCCTTACACACTTGACAGTCCGAGGTGATTCTCAGCTCTAAATGGGACCTTCAGGCTCCTCTTCCAAAGTCTGGGAAGAGTCAGATACTGTGGAAGGGACTCCTGAGATACTGTCAGAGCTGGAACCTGTGAAAAGTCAACCATGAATAAAACGAAGCTTGGGATGGAATTTCAACAGTCTGGAGTGTATCTGCATGATTCAGATCTCTTGCTTCAGGTGATTTGACGGGACTGCAATACAAGACAGGGTGATGAGGTTCAGTCTGTTCAGGCTCCAAAAGAGACAGAGCTGGGATAGCACGATGCTGAACCAAACAGCCGCCTTCCCCTTGGGCTAAATGCTCTGCTACGTTTTTCACAGCTATGCTGTTTCTGGTTCTGAAGGCAACCAAGTCATCCTTGGCTCTAGGCTGTAGTGCAAATGACACTAAAAGAAGTGGTTGAAACCAGGTGTCTCCCTTCCCTTGAACATTCACTTGGAGCTACCTGTAATCTAGTCTGCACACAGAAGTAGCAAAAGTTACTCTCTTTAATATCTAACTATAATCTTTCCAGTAGGAGTGGGGGAGAGCCCTCATTATGTTCATATTCACATTTCTTCACTTTTGATTAGAAGTAATCACTAACTTTTTATCTACTGTTTAGCAGTAGCAGACCTACCACTCCCTCTGTTTTCCTACAGTACTCAATGGAAACGTGCAGGTAGTTTCTGCAAAACTGCAAGGAAAATGGATGCAAATTTGAGTTAGGTCTCAGATTATGCAGAAGCAGAAGATAAGGTGGCTTGGCAAGTTTAGGAGAGCATGACTCTTCATTTGCACGTATTCTTAACTATATAATATAGTATGCCTCCTTAGCCTCACAGAAAACTCTGGTTTCACAGGCAGAGAAGATGCCTTCTGGGGAGGAACCATGTATTTTATTTATTTGGTATGTCCAGTGCAAGAAACCCACAACCCTATGCAAATATTAACCAAGTCTTGGAGCTGGCCAGAAATCAAAGAGATGATTATTATTCTGATTATAGAAAAGGGAAAGAATTAAAAAGGAGACGCTTCAGGCAATAGTTTGGAAGGTACATCAGGTATCTGCTTTATCTAAGTGTTTGTTGTAACGAAAACAACAGTGCAGCAAAGCAGCAGACATTTGATCTAACCTGATAGTCTCTCCTTTATTTCTACCTGAAAGTTTTCTGAATGACTGCAGTTTGTGTTGTCTCAAAGTCAGAAATGGCCCAATCTTAACAGTTCCTGACTACGTCTATGGATCTGGTTCGCATTCGGAACCTCACTGGGGCCCATAGGCCATGAGAAGTGACACCCTTCTTGGAGGGAGCAAATACACAGAGCCCAAACAAAGCCTGTTCTCTAAATGGCCAGAGAGCTATTTTCTTCTAACTCAAAGTCATGGGTGTTGCCTGATTTGATTAAAAAAAAAATAAATTCAATAATCACTGTCCTAACTATGAGATTAAAAATAGAAAAGGTGAAGAGTAGCCACCTCATAGCCTTGTCCAAAGTCTAGTAAACTCCTGCAGGATGGACTGAGAAGGTCCTATGAAGAGGTCTCCCAAATCCCCAGAAATGCTCTAACCACCACATTTTTGCACTCTTTATAAAATGGCACTGCTGTTTCCATTTGAAGTGCTGCTCAGTCAGGAAGGGGCTCGAGGTTTTGCGTAACAAATGGGGACATCTACCTTAAAATTCTGACCAGCCTAATCAGCTAAACAAGGTCACAGAATAGGTTTAAACATTTGTACATGTGCATCCATGTTTGCAGGGATGCTGTTTGCATGATGCCAGTTGCAGCCTCTGGTAACTAGTGCTCTCTTGGCACATGCCTTGAGTCAAGGCAGGGCAGGGAGTGCTACTAATAACCACTAGAGGTAAAGCTACCCTGCAGCAGTGAGGTAGTTCAGCTATACAGACATGAGTCACAGGGCACCACCACAGAGTCAGAAGATGGACCACAGCCCATTCTATTTACTAGGTTAGATTACAGCCTGTGGCACACTTCTCAATTTATGAGAAGACAAGTTAATCCTTTTATGTCTGTGGTAACATGCAAGCCTCCTAAATCCAAATGGGGACAGGAGAGCAGACACATCCCTGTGCCCTACATATCCAACTAAGTAGCATTTGGGTCTTCAGTCACACACCTCTGCATTCACTGACTGGTCCTTCACCACATGTACTGGGTTGACTCTGGCTGGACCAGGTACCCACTAAAGCCACTCTCTCCATCCCCTCTGCAACTGGACAGAGGAGAGCAAAAAAAGTGAAGGATTCACAAGTTAAGAGCTGGGAGAGGTAACTTACTGATCACCATCAAGGGTAAAACAGACTCAAAGTGGGGATATTAACTGAATTTATTACAAACGGGATCAGAGCAAAAGAGCGAGAAGTAAAATAATCTAAGAAGACCTTCCCCCCACCTCTCCTTCCTTCCAAACTCTACCTCCTCCCCCACAGCGGTGCAGGGAGACAGGGAATGGGGGTTATGGTCAGTCGTTGTTTCTACTGCTGATCAGGGAGAGGAGTCCTTTCCCTGCTCCTGTGGGGTCCCTCCTGCGTGAGTCCATCCCCTGGGCAGCAGCTCTTCCCAAACTGCTGTCCTGTTGGTCACTCCTCCATGGGGTGCAGTCCTTCACAAGTGAGCTGTACCGACATGGGTCCCCCACAGGGGCCACAAGTCCTACCTGGGAAAACCTGCTCCAGCGTGGGCTTTCCTCTCCACAGGCTGCAGGTTTCCAGCAGGACCCTGCTCCATCATGGACCTCCCATGGGGTCACAGCCTCCTTCAGATATCCACCTGCTTCAGCATGGGCTCCTCCATGGGCTGCAGGGGGGTCTCTGCACCTCGATGGTCCTCCATGGGCTGCAGGGGCACAGCTGCTCCACCATGGGCTGCACCACGGGCTGCAGGGCCTCAGCTCCGGTGCCTGGAGCACCTCCTGCCCCTCCTTCTGCACTCACCTTGGTGTCCACATAGTTGTTCACTTATTCTCACTCCACTCTTTCCTGGCTGAAATTTTCTCTGAGCAATAACTGTCTGTTCTTACATATGTGATCACAGAGGCGTTACTATCACTCCTGATTGGCTCGGCCTTGGCCAGCAGCAGGAAGTCCATCCTGGAGCCGGCTGGCATTGGCTCCACCAGGCAGGGAAAGCTTCTAGCAGCTTCTAACAGAAGCCACCCCTATGGCCCCTCTGCTACCAAACCTAGCCACAGAAACCCACTACACCACACTTAATATACCCTGCCCTTGCAAGTAAAATAAACCCATGCTGTCTGCCTCCCATACTTCCAGTGCTTTGTTCAGACCAAGCATCTACTTGTAGGTGTTGTGATGTAGTTGTAGGAGACTATGCAGCTGATTTGTTCCAAATTGCATGACCACAGAGCATCCACCGACTGTTTTCCAGTTCACAGATACACTATACAGAAGAGGCAACTACTGAAACAAAGCCACAGCGCTAAGTGAAGTTCCCTTGTAAATGGGGAAAGCTACAGAACATCTAAGGGAAGTTTTCTACCCTGTGAGACATGGAAACAGTAAACGTAAATCCCCTGTTTTGTGGCAGACAGAACTGTGGTACTGCAATCTATGTAATTCTGATTTAAACTACCTAAAGATCTCACCACTTGCCCCCCTTCTCCCACAGTATCTGAGCACTCTGGACCACATCCTAAATGTTCCCTTGACTTCAGAAGTGAAGCTAAATCATAGAACATGTAAGAATAATTTTTTAGGAAATTATGCCAAAATAGCCTCAAATCCTTTTAATGATCTATTTCTATAACAGAGGAGATTGTTTATTCTACTAGCACAGTGCTCTGAAAGATTTCTGTAAGGCTGACAGAAGACTGCCATGCACTACAGCAAAGAGCCCCAAAACTACTTAGCTTTTATATCTTCACTTCCCATCAGTAAGCCCATTCACGGCAGTTAAGTACTCGGATGAATCAGGTCCGAAGCTATTACAAAGCATAGTGAGCAAATGGCTCCTAGAGTCACCCGAGGTGACTAAAAAACTTTTTTTTAATTTCTGTGGATAAAGGAGATGCCAACTAATGACTGTCTAACACAGTTCTGTATCATTCAGTGATGTGTGACGCTTTATTTAATGTGAGAACATGCAATAAATAATACAGCACCATATCATTTCTAGAGATCACAGTTACGATGTTTCTTGTTGCTGCAGTTTGCTTTCTAAAACCTGTCTGGATGATGTCAAGTCACACAGCAGTTTAATTCCCTGTTCCCCACCCCCTCACACTTTAACAAGTATTGCTATGATTTTGTTTTCATTAAAAGCCTCAATGGCATTTATATGTAACATTCTCCTTCAGCACAGGAGGATGGAAAGGTGAAATCAAGCAGCAGATGATTGTTCACCAAAATATGAGCAATCATTTATGTTCCAAGCTAAAATAAATGCAAATAGAAAAAGAGAAAGCACACTGTTCTAATGCCTTCATTTAGCAACTTACTTTTTTTTTTTCTTTTAAAAACAAGTTTTGTAAAAACATTTTGAGCCTTGTGAATGCTCACTTTGTTTTTGTTTTCTTTGAAAAGCCTGAAGTGAGACATCTATCCTTTAAACTGCATGTCTTCGCTACTTGCCTTTCCCAGTGGCACAAGGGTGATGGTTATACTCCTCCATTACGTATTCTGGTTTAACCACACAGCTTGTCAAAACAGCCCCACCACTAAAATGAGCTGCAGCTCTAGATTTACACTCCCCATCGTCATCACTTACAGTTACCAATGAACAATTTCACGTCTAATCGCACACATTTCCCCAACAGCTGAACTACTTCACAGTTTTCTGTGTTTTTATTATAACTGGCCCCTTCATTTCAATTGCATCACAGTTGAGCTCAAGTCTGAAATGCAATGCTCCAGCTAGGGCAAGTGCTTATTTTTACTCAAGTAATTACAGAAAAAAGTTGATACTGACATTTACCAAAATATTTCAGAGCACAACCACCACCCACTGAGCTGGACAGGACAATTCATGCCTGCTAGTCTTGTTTTTCCCCTCAGAATATGACTGATTTGACTCATGCCTGACTTTAACAAAATTTCCAGACCTTTGCTAGAATTATAGTTGGTAGGAAAAATGCCTAAACATGCAGCTGAATTTCTGTTCCTATGCCCACATTATTATTTGTCTTTGATGAAAGGATACCGCAAGACATTCTAGACTATTTCATAGCATTTCATAAGTTTAAAACTTTACACATTGAAGGAACATTCTCTATTATACAGCTGTAAGCCTGCAAGGAACTGCTTTCATTTATTTCATAGACACCTATGAAAATCCCAGTTTAGTCACTCTGGATGATTTTTGCTCAACAGCATTAGCAGTGGAGGAGCACTGGTCCTTTGATACTGAAGCTAGAGCAGGAACATTTCTCTGCCTTCCAACAGTCCCACTTGTAGTTTGGTTACTGGTCATGACCCCATTGTTTATTGTATATGTAAATCGTAAGAATTACTGGAATTTTTATAAATCCCAATTAAATAAAGGGTAAAGAAAAGCCCACCTGTAATCAGACACCATGTAACTGCATGTTAATGGCCTGTTCAGTGCCCTACTGGGATATCTTACAGTAATGCTACAGCCCTATACTAAATATCAAGAGGCTAGTAGACTTTGTAACTGAATAAAATCTATTTATGTAATTACAGTAACGACTACAGTTCATACCTTATGCACAGCAAGTAAAAAAAAACAACAAACTAGAGTTTATGTAAATGTCACTAATGCACACTATGAAAAAGTAATTCCTGTTAATTAAAAAACACCTTAATTTCAAAAGTTTACCAGAAACAGTTACACTGAGCATTGTAATCTTTGAAAGCAGAACAGAAGTTGTTTACAAGGATCCAGCAGTAATTGATATCCAGCTGCTTGGAGCTGGGCTGCAGAATGAACATGTACTGAAAGCTGGGCTGAAATCCCCTCTCGCTTGATGGCAGCAGCAGTCATGCTGCTGTTTCCTATGAGCTGGAATTTCACCCCAGTCTTTACATTCTTTGTCGCTTATAGTGAAGTAGCCAGAAGACAACGATTAGAGAGTAGCCAAGTAGACTCACATTTCAAAAATATAATCTTCAAGCATCTGTAAGGTCTAGGGGGAGGAGGAGGGGGTTTATAGCACAGTTAAAATGAGTCTCTGTAAAAATTTGGGTAGTGGCCATTTCAGTAACAGAGCTGATAACAGGACACTGCACACCATTTAGAGAAACAAGTATATCTGAAGTTCAGTCCTTGGTCAAGACACTGTTGTATTGGCTCTTGACAAGAAAGGAAGGAAAGCACAGTGTGTGAACAAGTAAGTGCATGTATGCACACAAGACATTCCAGGAGCTGAACAATTTCTCTGCATACATAAAAGACCTTGTTAAGAAAAAAAAATAGCAAAGGTTTTTGGCATTTAAACAATTGGCTACATGAACTTGATTTCAAATCCAACTTTACACATTCTTGATAAACCAAAAAGCCACAACACTGAAGATGAAACATTTTTAGCACCATCTGTTGGCTTGCAAGTGAATACTTACTCACAAGAAATGAGTATAGAAAGACACGTTATCTTTTACTGAGAAGCATCTTGTTTTAAGGCAATATACAAAATCACAATATAGCCACCACAGAAACTGCTCTGATAATCCCTGATACTTCATGGCACTCACACAGGTTCCACTGCTGAGGGAAGGCAGGAATTAAATTGGTGTCTGTCCTCCTCCTCACTGCCATGTTTTCTGGAACACTGGGAATGTCCAACATCTGTAGGTCACTAGCTGTCATATGGCAAGACAGTTTCTTCCTGTATCTCCTAAATCCCTCTGTCGCCATTTATATTAGCCATACTAGCCACTATCAGTAGCAAGGAAATTGGCAAGGAGTTGCCATCTTTCCTTACCACTAACCCAATTAAAAAGTTGTTCAATACTGTAGCAAGCATTTACACAATTAATACAACTGACAGATTTGTGAACATTTCTCAGAAGGGAAATTACTTTAGCCAGTCTAGCCAGATGTGCTCCTGCAGCACAGGGGTTGGTTTTCCTTCTTTGCTATCAAAAAGAGTCAGTTTACTTACTTGCATTTCCACTAAAGAGTATTTTAAGAATGGACACAGTAACTTCTGAATATATACTATATTTATAAAAGAAAGAGGTAAGCAGCTTGTTTCCCATTTCCATCACTTTGTGGAACTCCATCATCCATTTTTGTTAATAGTTATGGCACCCAGGTATGCAGCTAAGAAATTGAAGAATCTGAAGGATGTAGTCAGAATCACTTATGGCTAAAGACAAGGAACAGAACTGCATTGCAAACCTACTTTTTTTCACGATTTAAAGGTGTGTTAAAATATACCAAGATTTTCAGGAAATCTGTTACTTGGCTTACACAGTAAGCTATGCCTTGTGCACTGTGTTCTAGACAGAGTTGTATTTTAAAATGGTGCACAAGGTTAAGAAACTTTACACGACATCGATGAGTAATCTGTGCTTTCATAAATACAGTAGTATACATCCTATATACAGATGCCAGTTGCACACCTCCAGGAAGGCTGTCAGCCAGCCATCCACAGGAAGAAGGGAATAAAGATAGTGGGGAGCGTGGTGGAGGGTGCCAAACCTAGGCAGACTATTGACGCTAGTCCCACAAGCACTGACGCGAGCACGCTCCTCTGGTCCCGAATAATCATCTTCACAGTCTCACAGAACTGGAAAAAAAAAAAAAAAAAAAAAAAAAAAAGGGCAAAAGATGAGAGTTGAAGAGGAAAGCTTTGGCTGGAGAGCTGACGATCCCCACTCCCTCGGGACAGACCAGCGGCTGCTCTCCCAAGTCTCACACGGGCTCTCCGGAGCCCAGCACAAGGGCTGGCACCGCATCACCCCCAGCATCAGCCCCAGTGCTGCCTGCGGCTCGGGCTGAAGCCATTAGTTTCGGAGCATTTTAGAAGAGTACTAATCGAACTACGAATTCAGCTTCGCTCTCCTCGCCGCTCGAAGGCGGCGGGGCCCGGCTCCGCACCGCCCCGGGCAGCTCCGCGCCGGCGGCACTGCCTGCCGCGGGCACAGCGGCGTCAGCTCCGGGCGGGGAACTCCCGCCCCGGGGCCGCGGCTGACCCAGTTTCGGGGAACGGCAGGAAGGGCAGCGCCGCCCCCCGCCTGTCCCGGCCGCCCCGCGGGCCAGGCCGTACCTTGTCGGTCTGAAAGCTGACCGGGGCTCCGTATCGGCAGTAGGTGACGAAGTGCTCGCAGTTGTTCCAGAGCAGGCTGTAGGCCGTGGTGCCCATCAGCTTCTCCGCCCGGCGCGCCGCCTCCTCGCTGCCCAGCACCTGGTCCTCGAAGAGCCGGTCCATGTGGTTGACCAGGATGCTGCCGCCGTAGGCGAAGTTCTCCACCGTGTCCACGCGGACGCTGGCCGTCCTGGCGATGACACCCAGGATAAGCCGCTTGTTGGTCACCACCTGCTGGATCTGCCGGAGGTCGTCGGTGAAGGAGGGCAGGATGTCGGGCATCAAGTGGGCGACGCGGTTCTCGCCCAGGTAGATGCCGAAGTGAATAAAGAGGGTGCGGGGCACCTCCAGAAGGTCGCCCCGCTTGAAGCAGCTGGTGTCGTAGTCGCCGGGGGGCGGTGGCGTTGTCTCCCCGCCGGAGCCCGCGAGCAAGGGCCGGACGTGGACGAGGAGCATCATAAGCTTCTCCAGCAGCAGCGACGCTGCTTGCTGCACCGGGTTCTTCATGGTCGGCTGGCAAAGCCCTCGGCGCCCGGCTCCGCTTTTCTAGGCTCCCGGTGGGGCGGGGCAGGCACCGGGGCCGGCCCACCGGCTGAGCGGCGTGCGGGGACCGCCTGCCCCGGACCGGCTGGGCTTTTTTGGGGAGCGCGGCGGGACCCCGAGCCGACCCGCTGTCCCCTGGCCTGTCCGAGGCGACGCCACAGTGCCCACAGCCCGCACTCCGGGGCCGGGAGCCACCCTCGGCTGCCGCCCCGCCTTCCCTCGGCGCTGCCCAGGTAGAAGTGCAAGGAAAAGTGCGTGCGAAGCCCTTCTCGCGCCCTAGGGAGAGCAGGGAACAGGGAGCCCCGCCCGGGACCGCAGTTGCTTCGTTCACCTTCCCCCTCCCGTGGGACCCCAGGGGCTCCGGGGGCCACCCCGGCAGCCGCGAGGTCCAAGCGGCAGCCGGGTGGGATCGGGGCGGGCGGGCTGGCACAGTGCTCACAGGGGGGCGGGAGAAGGGAGCGGAGCGTCTTTCTTCCTGGAAAGAAAACAGGTCTCCGAGGGAGAGCGGGAAGTCACATTTATAAATTAACTTGCCCGAAGGGTCCGCCAGCTAAGAAAGAGTGTGAATCGCCGGAGCGGCATTCCCGTCCGCTCAGTTTCATGCTAATCCGTTATGCAAATGGCCAAATCCTGGCAACGGAGCCCACAAAAGAGCAGCCCTGTCAGGTCAACAATGCTGCCCCGGACGAGGCTCGGAACTTTCAGTAGCCAGAAGGTTCCCGCCCCCTCGGGGACGGCGGAATGATGGATGGGACAGGCATTCATCTTACCTGGAAGATGACAAGGCCCGGAGAGTGGCAGAGGAGGGGGCCGCCCCCCCGCCGCCGTGGTTGCAGCCTTTCCCCGAGTCCCCGCCGCCGGGACCTTTGTTCGTGTCGTAGCCGCTCCTGCCCCGCTCCTGCCGCTCCGGCTGCAGGGGGGAGCTTTCGCCTCCGTGAGAAACGCGGAGCGGGCGCAGGAGTGAGGGGATATGCGTGTGAGAATGCTAGAAAAGTTTGGAGCATCTTCCCTTAAACTCAGAAAAACATCGCAAACACGAGATGCCAAGTGGGAAACAGGGAAGCGAGATCTGCTGGTGTGCAACAGCTTGGCGGCTCTCCACAGGAAAACTGCCTTTGAACAGTAGGTTATTTTTCTCTCCTCCGTCACTTTAAATCCGAGAGCCTGTGGATCACTAATGAGATCCCTAGACCACCCTCGAGCTGTAGAACCCCTTTGGTCACACCACAAAAAAAAAAAAAAAAAAAAAAATGTTCACCATTCCTTTTTCTTTCCATTAGCAAATGGCTCTGGTATGACTAGGAAGGCAAAGGGGATGCAAAGTACTCATCAGGCAAGAGCCTTCTACCACCATAGATACTGAACCAAGGTTCCGGATCTTATGCCCAGGAAAGGTGAAGCTTATCAATGACCCAACCCAAGTTTTTCACTTCCTTGGTGAAGAAAATATTTCAGGGGAGTGGGTTACCTCACTGCTTGTCAACAAAAATGATGGCTGGTGCCTTCCCATTTCCTCCTGCTTGAAGCAGAGAGCAGCTTCCTGGGAAACTGAATATAATCCTCACCTTGCTTCATCTGCAAAGAGGGAGGCCCACCATAACCTCTTGTTCCATTGCTGATTACAGGCCAGAGCCCCAGCACTACTTAACAGAGTGATCAGGCATTTGGGATTTTGTCTGGAGAGTCTCAGCCAAATTTTTACGCAACAGAGGCTTACCGTTCTCAAGCCCCCGACTTCACTTACAAAAGAGAAAATACCTTATAGATGTGGCTTATGATGCTGGCAGGAACCCTGTGGATTAGCCACAAGGCACACACAATTATATAAATTAAACCAGTGTACTTGCAAATTCAGATGTTTAAATATATTTGGAAGGTTTGCTACTAGTAAATAAAGACAGGGGGAGGAGGGGGAAACTACTCATTTTTAACTAGTGCATTATTTTTAAGGGACAGGGGAAAAGAAAAAATGCCTCATCCTGATGAAGGGTCTCACCTGTTGGTGATAGTCACAGCAGCTGGTCCAGAGCTGGAGCAGTGTGCCACAGAAGGCTGTCAAACATTCCATAGAACGTCTGGGCACAGAAAGGTTCCTGTCTCCCTCCTGGGAGGATGTGCACTATTCCTGCCCTGTGCTGCCATCTCAAGATTCCCCCTCTCCCCTTCCCCAAAGCTGTCTAGGGAGCGTCTGGATGGTCTTTGTTGAAACAGGCGCTAGAGATGCTTCAGTCCTACAGTTCAGAATTCTTTCCCCTGCCCAAAGAAGGTAGAGAAATTCAACTAAACTCCCTGGCAGATACAGACATTTCCCAACGGGATCTTTCTCTTGGAGGCATCCTTTGTTTGCTTTCTTCACGCTAGTTAGCTTTAATCCCAAAATCACCAGGGTCCATTTCAGGTAAATCCGTAAAGGAAACCAGGATGAAATCGAAGAAGAGGAATTGCCACAAGAAGACTCAAAGTTTTCCTGCATGGGAGGGTTTCAAAGTTTTAAGGTGAAAGGTGTTACATTTATGCAGTGTAATTTCCTAGTACCTAAGGCACTAGCGAGTCTCCTCTCTCCCTCAACCCCCCCAACCCCTCGCTCAGTCCCAAGCCTGGAAACCCCAATGAACAAGCCCAAAAGGCATTACAGAGCAGACAGGTCTGTGGAATGGGTTGCAGCAAGTGAAATCCATCCACATAATGCTTTGCCACTACCTTGCAACTGTTGTGAGCATTACTGTGTGCAAACTACTTAATACAATACAAAGTAATTTCTGAATTAAACCAGATTCTTGCAATGCAACTTGCAATCCTTTCAAACCCAAGGGGCTACACTCCTATTACTGCCAAATTTTCATGATGTAAACTGAAATTTAAAAGGCATACTTACCATTATTTTTCATCTGCTCTGAAGTAGGAAAAAACTATTTATTTTAGTGGAAAAATGGCTCAATGGGAGATGGCAAAACTAAAAACATACATTGTGCATCAAACACTAGCACATCCTCTTGGGTGACCTTTGAATAATAGCTTTTGTACCTATAATACACAAATTTAAGTGGAAAAAACACTTTAGAATATTAAATATAAATCAGCAAACACTGAGAAAGTATTTGTTTGGACTGTTAACTGCTATGGAACAATTTAATGATAAAACCCATGCTTTAGTTTCAACAGTTAGGGTGAGATGCAGTAAGAAAACTGCAAGAGGTAAGAGAATGCAGCCTTTGTTCAGTAGTGCAGATGAGCCACAGCACAAAAACTTCTTAGGTAAGAAGTGTGAGCCAGTTTCCATTACACTGAAACTCCTGCATTACAAGGAACCTTATTTTATGCACTCGGCATTACTATTTCCATCGTGCCCTCACTGCTAACACAGTAGGGAAAAAGCAGGAAAGGCAGGCAATTGGAAAGGTTAAGTTCTTGCTTATATGAGGAACAGACCTGGTTTAACAAGCAGGCAAAATGAATTTTTTAGCTGACTTAAGTTAAACCAATGCTGGTTGCAAACATGCTCACCATTTGACATTTTACCAAACATTTCTCCATTACTCAAGTTTTACTGTAGATTAAGAAACAAATGCAGCTTTCATGTCTTTTGGGACAGCTGAAACAAGTATAGTTTCATGAATTCAAACCACGTTAAGGTATTCAAGGAGAATAAAATCTTTGGATAGAGATTTTTGGAGGATATAATTTGCAAGAAAATTATCTGAAAAGCAATGCCACTTGGTTTAAGCTGGTGTACTGAAAGAAGGAATGGACAGAAAACATGTTTGTGAAGGATGGTTTCACAGCATCCAAAAGGGCTATTCCAGAGATAAAAAATAACGCCTTTGTATTCCCATATCCAACCCATTTGAACACTGTACCATTCTTTTCAGCAAATTACAGCTTCCACTGTAGAGTTATAAGTAACCAGGTCTCTAGAAAACAGTATCATTTACCTTTCTAGTTTTTGTATTTAACAAAGACTAGGGACAGAACAGACAGAATCTGAACAAAGAAGGAAACCGGCAAGACAATGCATGAAATTGCAGGCAAGTGAAACAATCCCAAACAAAGAACCTTTGAGCTAAGTATCACTCTCTTCCTGTAGAAGATAAATGACTAAAACAAATTTATACTTTATAAATATTCATTTTTATTCAGAAACTTATTGCATACACATTTCCACAGTCACTTAAGCAGCATACTGAGTGAATAATTACTGTAGCGTTTTTATCCTTGTAGGTTTGTTACTGAGGCCTATCACTTTTGTTTTATTTCCTCTTAATAGGCTTCCAAATTATTAACAAGAGTTTTCTAACAAACAGTGACTGTAAACATAATAAAACCTGCATGCCATTTTCCCTTTGAAGTTATTAACTTGGATATTTTTCTGCAATGAAGTAATGACTCATTTTTTACAACCTCACTGAATCATGCTGTAAACATGGATAGTACTTATGACTTGCTCAGAGGATAATGTGTTTAGATGGATAAAGCATTCACTTATGATAGCTTCAACTCAAATGAACAAAACTACAGAAAAGGTGGGAATGACTCATTGCCTAGTCCTCCTTAGCAAGCAGGAGGCTAGGAAATCAGTAACAGTAATAGCACAGACGGAGCTTTAGGAACAACTAACAGACAGTTTAGGTGATAATTAAGAAAATACTTACTTTTATAGTTTTGTCTGGTATTAGTAATGTCTCATTTTGTTAGCACTAAACAATACAATTTCCCCCCAAAACCCAGAAAGATTAATTTCTGATTATAAAATGGCTGAACATGTGGAGTAATATTTTTATGGCTTCAGCAGAGAAAATACAGTTATCAGAACTTCCACCTTGATATTGTCCCAGAAGTATAATACAGATTTTTGAGTCTCTTCTAAATCAGGTGAAGAAGTTTAGAAGTATCCTAATTTGAATATGCTAGTCATATTGTGCAGGAAGATGGGCAGGTGATAACTGGGAGTCAGAAGAGAGACAGAGTACACTGCATTCAACATGGTATTCCTTTCACAGCAGAAAACAGACTTTTCTGTGGGAAGGGCAACGCAAACAACAGTCAAGTGAACTTAATCCAGGCATGACTGCTGCACAAAAGGAGGACTTAACAGCCCTGAAACAAAACCAGGTATCCCTCCACCCCCTGCCCCCCCCCCCCCCCCCCCTTCCACCCTGCCAGGACTGCACCATCCCAAGGAGGAGCAAGCAGGCAGACTCCCCTTTCCTCACGTTCAAATTTATTACCACGCCAAGATCTGTGATTTCAAAGTCAGTGCTTTCAAACGAGGGACTGATTAGTAAGAGATATTGGAAAATGTAATAATGAAGTCTGTCATTAATTAGACAAAGTGCTGGAAGTTTGGTGGATCACCACCAAAGGTCAGCATTTACAACCAGTCACTGTATAACAGTACCAATTATTACTTTTCTTTATTGCCTAACAGAGAAGGCTGTTCTCCAGTACCAGACAGTGCTGACTTCACAGCAATGCACAGCAGGTTACCCAGCCTCACTCTCTGCACAGGACAAACACAGCTGACAGGACAGGAAAGTAGTTCATTCAATTTTCAAATAAAGACTGAGAAAAGGAAAAGAGAGATGGACTGAGCAGGAGGTAATTTTCATCCTGGGATAAAGATTATCTTGTCTTATAATTAAATGTTAAGTTGCAATTTGATTAATTCTATTTTTCAGGAAATAAATTAATTCTTCATCCAATGTATTATCTAGATAGGAAATGTTATCAGTCACAGACAAAGCTATTAGTCTGGTATTACTCAAAACATATGCTAATCTGTGCCATATAGCTAAGCCTCTGAGAGATAACTGTCACAAATTTCTACTCTTTGACTTTAAAAAAAAATCTCACTCAAGAAGCCAGTTCTTGTTTATAATGTTTTTATACCACTCAGTGTTAAAAGCATATATATTAAACACCTGTTACTCTATCAGAGATTTTAAATCAGGAACATTTTTAATCTGGAAATCCAACAGCATCTGTCCAAGTGCTTTACCCTGTAAGAAAAAGAACCAAACCAACATGTCATTTTACTATCTAAATATACCACCTTTCTAAATTAAGTTTTTTAGAAGTGGTTCAATACAGTATTTTTCCTGTAATTAGTGAAAATTCAGTACATTTGGGAAGTTTTTTTTAGTATTTCTTTCTATACACACACACACATATATATATGTATTTAATTTTGGGTGAGTTTTATCAAGCCTAAGTATGTATGTTATCCCAAGTTATATTTACCTTTTCCATTTATTTGGCTTTCTTACTTGTGAATCAGTACAATTAAGTAAGGAAAACTATACAGTTGAGTTTTCAAGCATCTAAACATGAACAGATGGAACAGTTTCTTCAGTTTATTTGGTACCTAGTGCTAAAATACTTATTTGGGGTTCAGTTCTACTATCCAATTCATATATAGCATCACCTTATTTTTTGAGCAGTCTTCTTGACTATGCTGAGATTATTTGTACACATAAGCATTTCTGAGCCTATGGTAGCTGTGCTGTAGCCATAGCACTGCTACATTAAAGGATCTCATCTTCAGGATTAGAGGTTTCAAATATTTAATACTCAAACTGTACTCTTAGAAAGTGTTACTTTCAGGTTCACATAATGTCATCAACACAAAAGAACTTCTATCTGTCTGTTTTTCATATTTATATTATTTATCAGTATTTTAACTACAGAAAGCATAGGATAAGATATGGTTCCTGTATAAATACTAAGAAATAATCTAGTTGTCTAGTAAATCTGCATTTTTCAAAACATGACAGCCTTTTTGACAAACTAATTTTGCTGGTGCATCTAAAAACTCAGGTAGCACATCTTAGAATAAATGATTTGAAAACTATTTCAATAGTTTCTCATACACATTTTTTTCACCACATATTCTAAATCAACTTTCGACTTCCCTATGTTGGTTTCAAACCTTAAAAAAAAATAGATAGGTAATGTCTCTTAACAGGAAATTAAAAGGAACTAGAGTCAACCCCCAAAGCTTACAGTTCCAACCCCAAAAACTAGTTATAGAGAGACTTATAAAAGATAACTACATTAAAATCATTGCTTTGATACATGCCTGTGGGTCACTTCTTAGGGATGCTATACCACCACCACCAAGGGAATTCTTCAGAACAAAATTTAATCCATGGATTCCTGGCAACTCATATCTGTAAAATAAAAACTGCACATTATTTCTCAAGAGATTTTGTAAGGAACATTTGTACAGAACATCAAGCAAAGCCAGCATGCAAAAATTTCACGCTTCTGATTGCATCCCACTGCCAAGTCAAACCAAAAAGTTAAGATTAACACAAGGCCTTCCCTGCCTTCATGTTCCTTCCCCTTACTCCAAATCAAGAGTCCCCATAGTTTGAAAGTAGAACCACAAAGTAATCATTCTCCTCTATTCAACTCCAAAACTCATGCATTTCTAATAGGGCCGTTTCTAGATTTCTTTTTTCTATGAGTTCAAGCCCATATAGAAAGCTCTGTAGGCCAGAGGTTCAAGATCCAATATCAACTCAGACAACACAGCAGGCAAAAGGAAGTATTTTTATTAGTTCCTAGTTCTGATACCAAAAAATTACAATCACTTAATTCCTGGCACTCACTTTTGCTAACAAATGCACCAGCCAATTGGAAAGGCATCCTCTTTATTACTGAGAAATAACTATGAGTCACAACACTGAACACTTACGACCAAGAGATAATTCCGTAGCAAATTAAAAGTAGAGCTACATTTCAATGCTTTCTTGGAGCCACGTATTTTGTTCAGGTAAAATTTTATTTTAGTGTGACAGACCTATTTTCCTGTTCCATTGCCACTGTAATAATTTTTCCATTCTTGATTTTGACTAGTATGGTTCCAATTTGGAAACTTCTGTAGCAGTTTGGCAAATGGCTCTGTGGTTTCCTATTGTTCCAAAATCCATAAATAGGTCTACAGCGTATTTCCATTTGCCTCTCCTTGCACAGTTTTTCAGTGTTTTGTCATCTTCCTTCTATTCTTGTTTTTCTTTGGTTTTGCTTTCCTCCAATATTTTCTTCATCTAAGGACTAGAGAGTTTTCCTTTAATTCCATAGGAAAGTGTTTAATCAGAGCATCATAAAGCCATGAGGAATAAAAGAGAAAAATTATATCTAATTCTCACTGTCTCCAGATGTTTGACTGCTGCATTTTAACTCACACTTCTTCCAACATCACTTATTTTTCTTGAGTCACCTATCTGGTCTTCATCTGTTTGGGACAGATTCTTCCAGTCTTTCTCTTGATACAGCTGGAATTTCTTGCAGTGCACTTACACTGCTTATTTTGTCATTCTAAGGTTCAGCTCCTTTTGAGCATTGTGAAAATTATGGCTGTTGCTGATATTCACAGCCCTGTATGCCCTCGTATCTTGGGTATACGACGCAAACCTTTCATGGAAGGAGAGGATTCTCCTGAGCCATCTGGCAAGTGCTTCAGTTCTTGTTCTTGCAAGCATTAGTCATGGAGTGTCTGTGTCTGTCTCCCAGACAAAAAGTTTTCACTGTTCCTTCTACTTTTTCGTTACCACACTCTACTTTAGTAGAGTTGTATTAGTATAGTTGTATTATACAACAATGTATAGTTGTATTTAGTAGAGTTTAGTATTAGTTGTCATTATGAAAAAAAATTGGTGTCAACATTCTGCTGTCCTTCCTTAAAAACCAGTTGGCAGGCAACATTATCATGCTTAAATGCAAATCCATTGGGAAGGCAGGAAAGTAGAATAATCCACCAGTGCTCTACTAGACAACAAGAATATGACGAATAAAGCAACTTCTACAATAAGTCATCTACATTATTTACTAAATAGCATAATCAGCTACACAGCACAACCAGAGGACCCCATAAAATTTTCAACTAACAAGCTCAATGCAAATTACCAATCACCACATACCATGAGAGCTAGGCACTACACTACAAATTTCACTCTGAAAAACTGGCAAAGATTTCCAGGCAGCACACAATTTCACTACTGGCAGATCTCTCCACAAGAACTAGACTGATGGAATATATATTTCAGAAGCTAATACCTCTTTTCTCAAAAGAAGTTTCATGAAAATCAATCAGGAAAAACAAACCAGGAGAGAAACTGAAGAGCATACAAAAGTAGAAGCAAATAACAAAATGAGTGGAAGAATTTCATTTTACTTTCTGCAGTAATTCTGGCAGAGGAATTATGTAATACAAGCAACAGATCTTAATTTGGAACATTTTAAAATGACATTCATTTTAAGTACTTTGAGGAAATACTTACACTGATATACTCTAGCTAAAACTAGGACTACAAAATAATATACAAAGGTCAGCATCTTCAATATTTTAAGGCCTGTTTGAAGCATCTGAGCATTCAAAGTATTTCCACACAGAAAATAAACTCCCACAATAAAAGAAAAAACAACCACTATAATCACTGTAATAGTCTTAAGTGGCAACAATACATTAACCAAAATGTTGGCAGGCACTCAGCATAATTAAACAATTTAAGTTTAATTAACTGAGATCTAAAGGAAAAAAATATTATCTAATTGTACAGTTCAATCAGAAGTTTTAAGAGCTGCTTTTAAAAAAAAAACAGAAAACAAATAAACCCTTCAAAGAATCATAAGTCTGTGACAGAAACCAGTAAAACAAGGAAAATTCACTGTTCTAGCTGAACTCCTATGCTTATGCACAATGGGGTGCCTGCTTAACTACTTCCTTTAAAGTGCTGTCCATATATATTGAAAGAAATCAGGTTTCCCTCTGAATTTCCTGTTAAAATGCATAGAAATAATAATGATAGAAAATTATTTACTGCATTTAAATCCAAGAAAAGATAGGATTCTTTTCATCAGAGGAAAGCAGGAAACAAGTCCATAGGCTCACAGAGATGTTTGCATGTAGAAAAATATTTAATTTTCCCCTCTATTAGAGATATGTACCAAAAAAAAAAAAAAAAAAGCAACCTAGAAGCATCAGTATCCACATTTCTGCTCTTGGTGAAAAATACCCCACAGGAAAAAACCAGCTGTCATTTTTTTTTATTTCTGAGCATTGGAATGTTCTCAAAACATTCCATATACAATATTTCAGAAGATAAAACCAACAAAAATCTCACAGGATAGTTTTACTATCCTTCTTAAATGGCTGACCTAATACCACTACAAAAAGAGTTTCTTATTCCCTATCTTAAGATAATCAGATCTGTTAAGAATGTACTCTAGCACTTCATTATGGAAAACAATCACTTAAGTTTGGCATTTCAGGGCATGGGGGAGTTGAGAGACCATCTTTTGTTATTTTTTTACCTTGAAATTCTCGAAGTTTGAGTTTTCAGTGTTTTCTATCACAATAATCCCACCTTTTCTCTGTTTAGTATACCTATTTAATGCCTTTACTGAAAAAGCATGAAAAGCAACTGGTTAACAGACTCCGTTCTGTAGTGAGGTAGAGCCATGATTGGTGTGTTTTAAGTAACAAAACTAGAACATATTTTTAACCACTCACCATTTAATAAAGAAAATGAAGGAAAATTAAACAGTAAGACAGCTTTTTTTATCATAGTTAAAACTAAAAAGTAAACAATTTGAAAAGAAACTACACAATCTGAAGCACATGAGCATAATCCTTATAATCCTAAATATTTCCACAAAAGGTTTTATTCTTTTTCCCCAGTAGCCTTCCAATTCACTTACAGAGCTCCATTATCCCATAATTAAAGGAAGCCAAACTCAGGAACAGATAATCTAATTAATCAAAATAATTTGGCTTCATCCAGACACAGCAAAATTCAACTTTTATTTATGAACATAAACAGCATTAAAGAACAGCAATGAATCAATTGCTAGAAGTATCATTAGGAGGCGTGACTTTTTTGATTTCTTCTCTTCTCTGCTCTGTTTCAGAGGAAATTCAATTACATTTCTTAGCATCACAATTTATTAGATACATAGATTTGTTAGCACTTACAAAACAGTGGGTGAGATCAGCACCAAGCTGCTTATGAAGACAAAAATCAGCACTTACAAAAGACCAGGGGTGAAAATAACTCCAAGCTCTCTGAGCTTTGGAGCTACACCATTCTGATTAAAGCTCTTTGAACAAGTGAAAAGACACCTAACAATTTGTCTACTACCCACGGAAATAGGTAATGATTTTGGCAGAATCTTCATATTTGCAAATAACTGACTTTGTATCAAAATACATTTTAGAAGAGTGAACAGTTTAAGCTTTTATGTGTTTGAAAAGCAAGAAAAAGGTTTAAAATCTGTTGACTGTTTTATGGACATCCTTACGGGAACAAATCCTAATACCTCATGCTACACGAACAGCATACATCTCATTTGCTAGTCCCCAGGAAGGACCCTGAGCATCAGCCATAGAATGAAAACAAAACTATTATGTATGCTGTCTGCTGGAAGAGGATATTCTTTTCTAGATAAGTGTCAGGTAAAAGTGTCCTGTTTGGGATGTACTCTCTTTCAGAGTATAAGAAGGGAAATGAGCTATGTTTTTTCTTTAAATTCTGGCTTTGTGTATGTGGCACAAAAGTGAGTCATATTGGGGTGTTTGAAGGAAAGTGAGTGAGCTTCATAAATATTAAAAATGTTTTGCAGCAACAGGGATAGTATGAGGCATGTTTCTGACAGATGATCACGTAAGTTTGGGCTCCAGACTACAGTGGCTGTGTGAAAGTCTTTCAGGTGGTGTTCTACAGATTTCGAACTCTCAGTTCAGCAGTGGCTCAAAGGATTCGGAAGCTTCAGTTACTAAGGCTCCTGCAGTTTCCAAATGGTTCAAAACCAATGGAGAGAGAAATTTCTCAAAGGACATTAGAAGGACATTATTTCTTGTTGGTAAAGACATTCTGTACTGGAACAAAACAAAAACAGCCCCAACACTACTATGCTAATGCTGGGAATTTAAATGCCTTCACTAAACGGATTCACGGCCTTTGTCCAGCTTCAGCAGAGGCCCAAGTTCAAGTTCTTTCATAGTGATTACACTTAAGTTGTTATTTAAAAAGGCAAAAGAAGATACATAAAAATATACCAAAGACAATACACACAGCTTTGCAATATCTATGTTAACAATACTTTAAGATAATTTCTGATACCATCGTGTATCTACCATACAACTGTAGACTGAGCACCAAGCTACTCACCTTGTTACTAGTTGTTGTTCTGGTTTTTCACGCTCTAAAAGGTGTTGAAAGTAATTCTCCAGGGCTTGAGCTGTTAAAGTTTTCTTTAGGTATGGATAGTAGAGGGGATGCCGTGCTATCACACCTGTTAAGTATTAACTGGCATTAGTTGAAATAGGAGCTGTTAAAACCAATTTGTATTTATCCTTTCAAAACTGATTTGAGATCCTCTGTTTAACTGAAACTGTACATATGGATCCTCTTTAATGAGCTCCTGAATAAAAAACACAACAGTATGACAGCTCTCCCTCTGTCAGTAGAGATGTAGGGTGGAGCATGACGAGAGGATGCTAAGTGACCACAAAGTGATTATTGGACCTTTTCTGGCTGCAAACATTCCCTGCCACTGACAGACACCTAAGGAACAACAACATCTCAACAAACAACCCACAGGCAGTTCTCTTCCCCTAAGTGGTTTGCAAGACTTTGATAAGTAATCACAATTAACCATAACAAGGCATGATCAGTGACTGAAGGTTTGGTCCTTGCCCCACCTCTTAAATGAGATTCTGACATAAGTGTGAGAAATCACAGTTACATTTGTATTGCTGTAAATACGCTTTCATAAGCTTCAGTTAATTTTATGCTGAAGCTGAAGTTCCAGAGCAGGATCAGGAAGGCAGATTTGTGTCATAGGGACCTTTTTATCTGTGGACTTCGAAGACTAATTTATCTTAGAGGTGAAGTTTGTTGTTGTTATTGCTGTTCCTTAATAAAGCAGTAGTGTCTTTTATAGCTGAAGAAGTCTATTATGTGTGCATCATTCATGATCTGGCAATGCTACACTGCAACAGTGGTCAACCATAGGGAAAGGAAAATTAGAAAAAAGACCAAAAAAAAAAAAAATCAATATTTTTTCATTCTTCAACCCAAAAAAAGAGTTGCACAAACAAGGACAAGAAAACTATATTCCTAAATACAAATGAACAAAATTTATCAGTTTTAGCATGACAGCTAATAGCAAATCAAATCCCAAACGCACCTTTAATTCATACTGAGCTTTGAACACCACACGCTCTCATCTTCCAACAAGTAAGAGAGCCAATTGTTGCATGCAGAAGTAAGGAACAGAAGGAATTATTAAACAATGCAAAGAAGCAGCACAATCAATGTAAAGAGACTGCACACTGAAATACAGCATTTGGATTAGCAATATAATAATAACTTTCTCTTACATACAAGAAAAAATTTTGGTATTTCCTAACACTGTCAATGTTTTAGCCATATACATGTTACAAAATTCATGTATGAAAATACTACACATGATCAGACAACCAAGAAATTATAATACATAACACATATACATGAAGGAGTAGCAACTGTAAGAAGAACCTCAGAAAGGCATTTCTTAACTTTTGAGATCTCGACTTTCAAACCCTAAACAAAAACCTTTCTTTGTAGTATGACATGCTAGGATTTTTTCTTAGTGCCTCAGATTACAACATCTGCTAATCAGGAAACTAATGATATTTCTTTAGCAAAATCCTTGTTCTAGATGTATTCTTTTTTTTGTTTCAGCACAATTAAAAAAAAAAATCAAGTGATACGAGAGATTTCAAGAAATTAAGAATAGCACTTGATATGTAACTCTTATTTGAAAATCTTACATCACTTCAGAAAACAAGAAAACTAAAAATACCTATGTTTGCAGAATTGCCTTTGTCTCCACTTCTCGTATAGGCAAGATCTTCTAAGCGATAAGTATGTGGACCACTTGGCAGATCTATACAATATAAAAATGAATACATTTTAATGATGCTACAAATAATAGCATAATTTGAAGATGTAACTGTCATTTTAAACGTATGCTTTCTGCATTGCTTGGAATAACTCTGAAAACATTTCCAATTTTTCTTCCCACAGGAGCACCTAGAGAAAGAGAGGTGAGACTGGGTCCCAAAATTACAAAGTTGTTCCCTCCTGCTCCATCTCCCAAATCCCTTTCCTTTTTTTACAGCCAAGTGCTGTACCAGGCATCCCTTCTTCCACCACCCTTGAATGTGAATATTCATCTTGATCTTAGCAATGCAGTATCTTTGAAGGAGGCATAGCAGATACTTGTCAGTTCTTGCCTAGCTGACAACTTTTATCTCCCTTAAAACACAGATCTCTCTGCTTCCAGTGCAGGTAGAAAATACATGTGGATGCTACTGTCCTGATAATTCTATGTGTGTTTATTCTGATAACATCTGTAGAAAACTCACAATTTAAAATTCCTTTTCAGCACAACACGACTCTCACTTGCATTTGCACTGTTGTAACAGTTAATTATCCAGCTGCATAGAAGAAATCTAAGACTTCTAATTACTGGGTTTTTTTAAATATCTTAGCATTATATAAGAAAATGCATGCTCTATAGGAAGCCAATCTCGATTATTTTATCCATCTACATATCAAAAAGCAAACCCACTCCTGTCCAAATCCAGAAATTCCGTATCATGGGATTCACACAGTATACACCTGAGGTTTGATGGCTAAGTTGCACAGCACAGACCTCTTGCAACTGTTGATGACTAAGAGCAGTTGGCTGTCACCATCTAGTTTCTGTCCTCCAATGCCAGAGATGAAGCACTCACTTTGCTACTGAGTTATTCATAACTCAACATAACACAAACTTGAAGCATAGGCTATATCAAAGGTTTTAGGCAGTGAGAATCTAGTAATTTTCAGCCAGTTCTGCTCCTGATCCAACTTGCCTACAGCCATATCAGCTCTCCCAGCATCCTTGGCTTTTCAGTCCCATCATCTCTAACAGATAGACCTACACTCCTGACTCAGAGTAGACTTCTCACCCCTCAGTTGCTCTCTCCTCCATCCCCTTCCTGTTGCTTTTCATCCTTCTGCACACAAGTGGCAGCTCTCCCCTTCTCTCTGCTCCTTGAACACCAGTAGGGGGGGACTATGCAGAGCAGGGAAGTGACAGCCTTCCTGCTTTCTGTCACAGCTTCTGCTACAACTACTGCAGGTGACAGCCACAAGAAGTAACTGCCAAATGTCCCAAAATGATCTATTTCTTTTTAAGGCACCAAGCAATTCAACCCTGGGCACATGCCTGTCACAGGAAATTTCAGTCTTATGTGTTAAAAACTGCCACATTTAAAGGAATTGAAGTCAGGCTCCTGTAAATCAATTACGTTGGACAAACTTCACGCTGCCAGATACAATGCAATTTGAAAATATAGCAGTCTGTCATTTCTGTACTATTATTGCTTCTGCTTAGGATACCAAACTACTTTGGGCTTTTTTTTTTTTTTTTGCTTTCTTTTAATTTTAGGGAGTAAGAGACCCAACACTAAAGATGTTATGCTCTAAATGCTGGCCAAAGGCAGTGTATAGAGCACAGTGCACCTAATACGAAGGCATGAGTAGATATGCACTCCATAAACTGCATCAGGTGATGAGGTAAACACAGCCCTAACCAAATCATCATTACCTTTAACTTCTTCCTGCTCAAAGGGAGTTGCTGACTCATCAGACATGAGCCAGGCTGACCTTGGTAAGAAAGAAACTATGTCCGAATCCTACTGGCTGCAGTTTTCACTGACCCTATCAGAAAGGGAGGCTGCAAGTCTATGGCAGTAGCAGCTGGACAGATCCCAAAAGTTCATTTGGGTATGGGGTGGGTGATACAGCGGATAACAAAAATGCCTTAGAATGACATAACACAGAATTTGTATAGTATATCTTAGTTCATGGTACTTATTTGGTTGAAGCAGATCAGGTAACACAAGAATAGCTTTGCTGGCACATGTGAGTGGCAATAACAAGGAAAACAATAACGAAGAACTAGGGGCTCACCACAGCAACCTCTTCTACTGGCACACCTGGATCAGAAAATCTACCCACAACCTACCCAAACACCAACCTACCAGCATTTAACTGCCTTAGTTAAGACCTAAGGTTTTATAATATATATTGGGTCACTGTCAGAGATGATCTGAAGGAGCGATTATAGTTTAGTCTGGCACAATGGCCCCTCATTGGTAAGTAAGTCACAGTAGCATGAAATTTGAAATGGTGAAAGCATACAATGAAAGACATGTTTGTTTTGAACTTGCTCACAATCTCGTCCATGTTCACTTACAAGCCGAAATGTGCCATGAAACTTGGCAGAAGGTATTTAAGAGTGTATTTATTTAACTGGGGAATCTTATTTTTGATTAAACATCTCTATTAAGAGAGAATCTGAAAAAGTCCAGCTAAAGCTCATTTTGGACAAGACTACTACACTTCATTCACTACAGAAATCACATGAATTTTCATAATGTCATTCAATACACAATTTGAGAAAAAAATGAAGTGTTTCTTCAGGGGCTGAAGTTTGACAATGTCTGAACTGTATAAGCTGTAGAAGTCTCTTCTCCATCAGACATTTTACAGTCAGTCTTTGACAATCTCCCATTAAACAAAACCAGTTCAAGACCATGTTCTGGTCTTGAATGTTCTCATTTATTATTATCCTCATTGATTTTTCATGATCCATTTATCAGGAAATTGTTTTCATTTAATAAACATCTATGAAAGCTAGGGAAAATGGTAAATTCAAATTCCACCCCCCTCCCAGAATCACATCTAGCAGCTTATTTGAAATCCATTTTCACATATTTCTCTTATCTATTCAAAGACAACTAACAGTCCCACACACTTGAGATAACCATGAAACTGAGAAAAATACTTCCATTCTTTATAAATACTGACAAAAAATGCTTTACCAGAAGCTATTCCTTTTACAGTCTAACCCATTTGTCTTTCTCATCCATGCTGTCCTGCATTAAGCCACGGAAGTAGGTAAGTATTTAGTCACAGACAGAAAACATTTATATTTACAACAAAGGGCAAAAGTTTAGAGATCCTTCTCAGGGGAAACAACCAGAGGAGCTCTGCTGTCTCTCAAAAATGGGGTTTTGCCTGATAAAAGCCTGAAGAATTCAGTACTTAAAATTCTGCTGTCAGGCACCTCAAAGTTTTCTCAAATGATAAAAAGGCAGTAGGGAGTCCAACAGCGTTTTGCTTCTCTAATATTTAGCATTGTGGTCACCTTGAAAAAAGAAACCAGACAATAGAACAATGATTTCCTATTTCTTATCTTGCCCAGTTTGATGGTGTAAATACACCACTGCCCTCCTGAAAACTCCCAGGCATCAGAGAGATTCTGGTGTGACATCAGATTTCCACCAGACATAAGAGCTGAAAACATACTTAAAGAGTTTAACTTGTTTCTGACTGACACATAAATCTTCATATTGAAGAGATGTTTGAACAGATGGGGGAAATGAACACATGCATGGCAATCAGGCATCCATCATCGGTGGCTTTCAAATGGTATCAAACACATAGTCCTATGTATATTTCAAAATTTCTCTATGTGATACAGAACATTCCCTACTAACTCATAATTAGTTGTTATACTATTCTATTACCAGTTTTGAGAAATACTACTCATGGATATCTGAAATCCAGAATAAATCTTAACACACAGGTGCCTTTACAGCATTAATTTTTCAAGTAGACAGACTTAAATACCTGAATTACTCTTTCAACATCAGTATTATTTTTAGAAATTTTTCAAAGTAATCTTTAGTAATAGCATACTCCTGGAAAAGCTGGCAGCCCACGGCTTGGACAGGGGCACTCTGTGCTGGGTCAGGAACTGGTTTGAGGGTCGGGCCCAGAGAGTGGTGAACGGAGCTGCATCCAGTTGGCGGCCGGTCACCAGTGGTGTTCCCCAGGGGTCAGTGCTGGGCCCAGTCCTTTTTAACATCTTTATTGATGATTTAGATGAGGGGATTGAGTCCATCATCAGCAAATTTGCAGATGACACCAAGTTGGGAGGGAGTGTCGACCTGCTGGAAGGCAGGAGGGCTCTGCAGAGGGATCTGGATAGACTGGAGAGATGGCCTAACTCCAATGGAATGAAATTCAACAAGGCCAAGTGCCGGGTCCTGCACTTTGGCCACAACAACCCCCTGCAGCGCTACAGGCTGGGCACAGAGTGGCTGGAAAGCAGCCAGGCAGAAAGGGACCTGGGGGTGCTGATCCACAGGAAGCTGAACATGAGCCAGCAGTGTGCCCAGGTGGCCAAGAAGGCCAATGGCATCCTGGCCTGCATCAGGAACAGTGTGGCCAGCAGGATCAGGGAGGTGATCCTTCCCCTGTACTCTGCATTGGTGAGGCCACACCTGGAGTATTGTGTTCAGCTCTGGGCCCCTCAGTTCAGGAAGGATATTGAGGTGCTGGAGCGGGTCCAGAGAAGAGCAACGAGGCTGGTGAAGGGACTTGAGCACAAGTCCTATGAGGAGAGGCTGAGGGAGCTGGGGTTGTTTAGTCTGGAGAACAGAAGGCTTAGAGGTGACCTCATCACTCTCTTCAACCACCTGAAGGGAGGTTATAGCCAGGCGGGGGTTGGTCTCTTCTCCCGGGCAACCAACAATAGGACAAGGGGACATGGGCTCAAGCTCTGCCAGGGGAGGTTTAGGTTAGATGTTAGGAAGAAATTCTTTACAGAGAGGGTTATCAGGAACGGCCTACCCAGAGAGGTGGTGGATTCACCATCCCTGGAAGGTTTTTAAAAAGAGACTGGACGTGGCCCTTAGTGCCATGATATAGTAACTGGAGTTGGATCAGGGGTTGGACTTGATGATCTTGGAGGTCTTTTCCAACCCAACCTATTCTATGATTCTATTTAGGTACAGTCACCTGATTTAGATTTGCAAATACCTATCCACAGCTTTAAATTAATTCTCTCAGTTCTATGGTATGCAGAAATAAGGTAATGAAGACCAAAAGGGAATTATGAAGCATTCTATACATTAAGAAATATTATATATCATTCTGCCATTAAAAAGAAAAAAAAATTGAAGTGTCCAGCACCTTCAATAATCAGTTGTATGAGCAACTCTGATTTAACACTTCCTTTTCATTGTGGACATCCTGACCTGTTCCATTCAGCTCAATGGCTTGCCCTTCTCAAGGTTCTTCTTTCTCAGACAGTTTGGTTAGACATGTCCAGCAGGAACACAGGAATTATCATGCTGGATCATTAACTAGTGTGATTTCTTTAAAAGTCACCAGTTCTAGGTTAATCTCATTCTTGTTAATTTTGTGAAGGCTGCCATATGGAACAGGAGCAAATATTAATCTTCTAAATTTTAATAATCTAAGTGCTGTAAGTCTCTAAGTCATTCTGTATGTCCATCCTCTATTCTGAACATCACTAGTCTGATGTAGGGTAAACCCAACTATTTCCAGGATTCACAAAAAGTAAGATTATAATATACTTTGAAACCATATTTCAATTTCAAGCAATCTTTGCAACATCTTCAAGTGTGTCTTAAGGCCTAGTTTTTTTGAACAACAATTTACTTATGTACTTCTTATAGTTTCAAATACATTTTATACTGCATGATGCTAACCACCTTCCTTCCAAGAAAAATAGTTAAAGCGTTTTGCAACGGCCATAAAAATATATCATATAGAGGTAGAATGTATTTCACAGACAAATCTAATATGATTTTCCAGGACAAAGATAAAAAAAAAAATCAGTCACAAAGATGAACATACCTTTCAATTCACTGCTAATCTTCGGTGGATCAAACGGAACCACTTCATCTGATGTAAATGTGAGATCCTCCTCAAATATCTCAACATGCTGCCCATTTAAAAATAGGTCGATCTGCAGAAAGAACAGATTTTCAAACTGTCAAATTAGAAATCCATTGCAACGTGAATAAATAAAGCACATTTTTAATTAATTACTGATGTCATATATTTTCAGTTACAGCTTTATAGATAAGGTTCTGTTGCTCCCTTTTAAAAAGTCACAATACAATAATAATTATAAACCTAAAAGAAATCTTTGTGTAGGGGGAAAATGGTAGGAAACACTCAAAGAAGTACTCTATCCAGTTTGGTACGTTTTAAAGAAAGACAAATATCTCTTTCCACCTCCTTCTATATACTGCAACACAACATGGAATTTCATGTCACAACTCTCACAGTTAAATCCCAAAACTTGAACATTTCCAGTTGTTCCATCATGTAACCCCCTTTCCTTCTTAATGTCACTGTCCATACTAAAGACAACCTCCTTGTTGGATCCTGTATTCATCTTCAAATATATTCTGTGAAAGCCACCAATAAAAATAAATCAATACTGGAATTTTGGGTTTATGGTGAGATAAAATACAAAATAAAAAATGCTATGGTGTTCATTTTGCACTATGAGCTCTCCGTCCCACCCCACCCCCTCAAAAATTAGTAAAATGCATAGTCAAGTGTGCTATTTTATTAGCTGATTGGGCTATTTACTGTACTCATTTAAACTGGCATAGAGCTCATTTTCTTCCTAGTAGCTGGCCAGTGCTGTGTTTTTTGGATTTAGTATGACAATAAGATGGATAAACACACTGATGATTTAGTTGTTGCTCCGTAGTGCTTACTCTCTAAGTCAAGGACTTTTCAGTTTCCCATGCTCTACCAGAGAGAAGGTGGACAAGCTGGGGAGGGAGCACAGCCAGGACAACTGACCTGAACTGGCCAAAGGCATATTCCATACCACAGAGAGTCATGCCAGTATATAAACTGAGGGGGGTGGGAGTTGGCTGGGAGCTGCTGATCACTGCTGGGGAATGGGCTGGGCATCAGTCAGTGGGTGGTGAGACACTGTACTGTGCATCACTTGTCCTTCTTGGGCTTTATTCCCCTCTTTCTTCTTTGTTACCTCCCTTTTAATAATAACAACTACTACTACTTTGTTTCAATTATTAAACTGTTCTTATCTCAACTCATAGTTTTAACCTTTTACCTTTTTTCTAATTTTTCTCCCCATCACACTGGGTCAGGGGAGGGAGGTGAGCAAGTGGCTGTGTGGCATTTAGTTGCCAGCTGCGATTAAACCATGACAGTCCTTTTTCACACCCAACGTGGGGCTTAATGGGTTCAGATAACAGCAAATCTGACTAGATCATGTTAGAACACATTTGTTACAAGCATTCACTGTGTTAGTTTAATATTCACTGCTCACAATTATTTACTTTCTCTCAAAGTTGATGTGTTTGTTCCTCAAGTTCCATTATGTAACAACTGACTTGCAGCATGTGTTCCCTGTTATGATGTTTATCACCCATGGAAACCGGGTTGAGGTTATCAAATTGTTGTACTTTGTAACATTGGCTTATGATAGGATATAATTGCTGGTTGTGAAACTAATCTGGTATTTGCACTCAGCACTGCTGTCATCTCTGTACTTGGGCGTCATCTATCAGAAACTATTAATAATTATACCTTTTACCTTTTCTCCTCAAAGACCCAATCCACGGGGGGGACACACTTCCTTTCACTTCCCCTTCTTCAGGCTAATCACAATAGCTATTGACAATTTTTAACATCCTTGGGATGTTCAAACTAGAATGTTCTTATTGCTATGTCTTCACAGAACCACGGAATCAATTAGGCTGGAAAAGACTTCTGAGATCATCCAATCCAGTCTATGGCCCAATACAACCATGTCAGTTAGACTACGGCACTAAGTGCCACATCCAGTCTTTCCTTAAACACAGAGGGACAGTGACTCCACCATCTCCCTGGGCAGCTCACTCCAATGCCTAATCACCCTGGCACAGTTTTAAGACTATGTCCTCTTGTCCTATCACTGGTTCACTGGGAGAAGAGAACGACCCCCGCCTCACCACAACCTCCTTTCAGGCAATTGAGGAGAGCAATAAGGTCACCCTGAGGCTCCTTTTCTTCAGGCTAAACACTCCCAGCTCCCTCCACCATTCCTCATGAGACTTGTGCTCCAGTCCCTTCACCAGCTCTGCTGCCCTTCTCTGTACATGATCCACACCTCAGCATCCTCTCTGAATTGAGGAGCCCAGAACTGGACACAGTACTCCAGGTGTGGCCTCACCAGCACTGAGTACAGAGGGACAATCACTATCCTGGTCCTGCTGGCCACACTATTCCTGATACAGGCCAGGATGCCATTGGCCTTCTTTGCCACCTGGGCATACTGCTGGCTCATGTCTACTGAATGTGTTCCAGGTCTTTTTTAAGGTTAAACAACTATTTAAGAATACTACCCAGAGATCCACCCCACAGAGAGAGACTTGGGGGTGGTGGTTGATGAAAAACTCAACATGAGCTGGTAGTGTGCACTCACAACCAAGAAAGCTAATTGAATCCTGGGTCAAAGGAGGTGATTCTCCCCTTCTACTCTGCTCTTGTGAGATCCCCTCTGGAGTACTGTGCACAGTTCTGGTGTCCCCAACATAAAAGGATAGGGAACTGTTTGAGCAAGTCCTGAGGAGAGGCACAAAGTTGAAGAGAGTGGGAGGTGTCCCTGCTCATGGCAGTGGGGGCTGGGACTAGATGACCTTTAAAGTCCATTCCAACCCCTTAACATTCTCTGATTCTATGATCTGGTCTGAGGCTGGATAGTTAAGAGTGGCAGGGTGCATGGGATAGTATGGGCAAGTGCCTAGGTGTGTGGGCAGCTCCGGTGGTTTGGAACTTTACCCTGAACAAATGCAGAATCCAGAAAAACTAGTAAAATATTTGGAAAAAGTATGCCATCACCTTGGCAATGCCAGAGAGACATAAATCACTGCAATGTGCTGGCCCAGACCTACCGAGCTCTGTTTAACAGTACTTAGTACTTTCAAGGGGAAGAGGAGGTCTCTGGATCTGACAAAAAACCAAAAAGCCCTGCAGCTACTCCAACCCTGGCAACAGGCACTGCAGCTGAGTGAGAGGACCAACACCTCCTAGTTACCAGTCACTCCTATACATAACAAGAAATCAACACAAAACTCAGCTGATTTAGTAAAGGAGGATGAAGCAGGGTCATCACAAAAATAGGAGAAAGAGGCAGAACAAGATCCCCATCCTCTAGTGAGCAGTGGGATATGTGAAAATATTTCAGCTGTCTTCCAGGTCAGCACATTATCACCTGGCTGCTCCGATGCTGGGATAATGAAGCTAGTAGCCTGAAACTAGAGGGTAAAGAAGTCAAGAAGCTACAATCACTTTCTAAGGAAGGGGACATTGACAACTGGATTTGAGAAAGGGACCACGTCCTCAGCCTCTGGAGGTGACTCATGTTAAGTCTGAAGGAAACATATCCCTTCAAAGAAAATGTTTTATGTCACCCAGGTAAGTGGACCACAAGGAGGAGAGGTATCCAGTACTTGAGAGAATTAGCCATGCTAGAGATGATTTATTATGACCTGAACAATGCACAGCTACCCACAGATCCAGATGGAGCCCAAAGCTCATGACCCACATGGCAGCAATTTGTACAGAGCACATCATCATCGTATGCCAACTAATTGGCAGGCATGAGACCCGGAGAGATGAAAAGGCACCGACAGTGGATCAAGTGGCTCACCAACACAAACAATATGAAGAAAATCTCTCTTCCTCCCTATGGAGTTGTGTCTTGGCTCTGGAAAAACTGTATAAAGGGAAAACCTGTCCTGGGAGTTTCAGCAATTGAAAGCGAATACTTCTTGCTCCTCATCTATACAGACCAGTATCTCAGCTATTAACAGTAAGCATTCTTTTGCTCAAGAGAAAGGATATAGAAAGTACACATGGCAGGGTACCCTGCAGTTTTTCCTGTCACTGACAGGACACAATGAAGTGGGATGGAAGCAACTGACATCCATTTTATCTGTGTTGGAAGACGCCCAGTACTAAAGATTCGGACATATGATCGGGTTACACTACCACAACAAAACAATATAAACTAGCTTTGCTGCAGCAGTTATCGGTGCTCAGTCATCAGCAAAGGCAAGATAACTCTATTCAGCACTCTTTCTTAAGATTGCCCTTAGAGAATAACTAATAGTGACTTTCCTTCAGTAGGTTTGCTGCCATTTTTCTCCCTACAGCAAAATTTTAGGTTACCTTTGAAGTACACATGGAGAGTAACTACTATTTGAACTGTAAAACCATTGGTGATCTATGATAAACTCAGGACAATTGCATAAAAGCAGTGGAAACAACAAATGAGATACTGAATCCTAACTGACACCCAGAAAGGTATTAAACACAGAACAAAAGAACTCACTGTAGCAATATTAATATAACTGAAAATCTGCTTTTGGAGTTTTTTTGGTTTTAGGTCAAATGCTGAACTAGAGCAACCAGACTTTTTATAACTGAACTTCCAATTTAGAAAAATCAGTTAATTCATACTTTACTTACTCTGTAATCTCTCACTAGACCATGGTTGTTACTACATGGCTAGAATTTTGAATCAAGGACTTGAATCACTTACACCCCACTTTTACTGCAGGACAACACATTGCACTTTGCTAATGGTGTATCAGTACATTCATGAGATTAGTTACATAGAGCAAGGACTTTGGTTTTCTGTATTGAAAAGAATAAATGAGACTCTGCTTTCCTTCCTTGTTAAATTGGGTTACTATTTAACCTCAACAGCATTTTACCAAGTCTGGAACACAATGCTAATTACCAAGTTTATATTTAATTTGATGAGCAGTACAGTGGCAGGCTAAACTTCCATAGATAGTACTTTCATATTAAACTTCACAAAGACAAGCCATTTGTATAAAGCAAAATATAAGTGATGATAAAAACAAGTACTTGAAATTCTTTTTAATGCTTTTCCACTAAGCACAGTTTACAAATAATATAATTGTAATAACTAAATAGCATCTCCTCTCTAAAGTTGTGAAACTAAAATATTTTCCATTAATGCAGAATACTACTTAAAAGAATGGGGCTTGTTTGTGCTAAACACTGTATGAGGGTTAGAAAGTGAAAAGTCCCTTTCTGGTTAGAAAACTTAAGCTGTTGTGTTTGTTGCCCCTTGCCAACCTTATCACTTGCTGCCTGTGTTCTCAAAGCTTCCCTTCACCACCCTAAGCAGAAGCCAGTCACAACACCTGTGGTCTAACACAGACCAACATTCTGGCCTTTGGCCACTTTCTTGACAGTGGATGAGTGAGAAAACTCATACCGAGTATGAGGATGGCATGAGAGGCATGCAATAGTTACAAGTCACTTAAAGGCCTTGGAAAAAGAAGAGCATGTACATGATTTTGTCTGCAGTCTCCAAAGGATCAATTAAGTATCTGATGGCATTCAAAAGAGATCAACATTTATAAATCCAAACATTTTATGGTTTCAGCAAAACCAAATTCTTTAAATTTATCTTGAAGACTTCAATCTAGACAGGGGTATATGCGTAACAGAAAAGAAGTAGGGCTCTAAATGAACATGTCATGCACTGTAATTTCTCAACCAGGGCTGCCTAGTCATCTGAACTGTAAGTTCCTGGACTAAAAGAAATGATTGCTATGAACTGAATAGGGCCACAGAGAGACATCATTCACAGGCTCCTCCATGACACTCAGCACAATAGTTGCACAGGCTTTTGCAATTTTACGGTTTTTGTTATATAGGCAAGAGTAGAAATTACTACTTCCATTTTTATAGACAGAGTATATGGAAGGAAAAGGTCCAACTCTCTGTTAAGGTAAAACATCTATGAGTCAGAGGAAATTCAATAGTTTTAATACTTATTCCCAGTAGTATATACAAAATGTAGACTCCCCAAAAAATCACAAGATGTGTCCAGGTTCACAAGATTAATATTCCCCTTTCTGAACACCCAACTGCCTACTTTTTAAAGAGGTCCCGTTACCTTTCAAAAAAGTATAAATTTTCTTAAGCACTCCCTGCAAACACAGTAAAAATAACTCAAACTTACAATTCTAGGAAGTTCAGTTCATGAAAAGAGAAGTTTCAGTTTTGGTGTAAGATATTTCAAAATTTGCAGCAATTAAAACGGAAGGTCGGCAAGTTCAACTGTTGCAAAACATTCTGTGTGAATAACATTAGTCTCTAAGGAAATATGTTTTAATCAAAGTTACCAGAATACTTTGCAGTTTTAGAACTCAAAGTCACTGAAAAATGCCAGTCAGCTGAATTTTTCAAACTACTTCAAAGAAAACCAAGCACAGGCTTACCTGAACATTTCTTTTGGGATAATAGAAGAAAAATGGCTTCAAAACTGGAGACCTAGAAACACAAAACAACAAGCATAAATGCATTTAACTAGAAATTAATGCATGAGAACTAAGAGGAAATTAAAGCTGTTCAACCATAACTAACAATAGTTTTCCAAACAACTTTGGAAAGCCTAAGAAGTGTAAAAATTTCTTAAATTCCATTATTAAGAATGTAAGACTTTGTTAAAAAAAATCCAAGAAAATTTTTCAGGGGGAAGATAGTCAAAATACCAAAAATATTTTCTTGACAAAGGATGTATTTCATGACACTGAAGTCTGTTGCACTGTCAGTAGCCCCACATTAATACCTAGGCTAGTTACACAGGGCTACTGGAAATATAGCTAGAGGTCCTCCTCCCACCTTCATATGCAGTACTTGCTTAATGACAGTAAAGTTTTAAATACTCTCATGAATAAGCATGAAAAGGTTGAGAATATAAATCACCAGCAGACCTCAGTCTTACCTAGAAAAACACTGAGTCAAACCAGAATTTTTTTTTTATATCCTTAACATTATTCTGTTCAGTTTGCTCATGTAATGGTTTCACGATAATATTTTTTTGGGATGTTCTGGGACATTTGACCTCGCATTTCTAGGTGAAGTGAGCTGGTACAGATGTAAGTTTGGTGTGCCTGTATTCCAAACTAACAGCTACAAGAGAAAACTGGTCCAGAAATCTGCATGTATAACACATGGTTGAGCAACTGCCTTGCCACGAAGTCACATCTGAAGTTCTCCCTACAGCTCATTAAGAAGACATTGCTATGAGCTGATCAGACTTACATAACTTATATTCAGTAATTCAGTAAATTTTATTACTTGCATATATATCCTATAGCACCCACTATTACCTTGTTATCAGTTATTAAACATAGTGTGCAAAAGAAAGATTTAGTTGCCTCTTGTGGTTGCTGTTTGAAGTTGAGGAAGCTTGTGATGGTGAGTGGTAGGAACACTATCATCACATATTACAAGAAGTTAATCATCAGGAATTAACTTACACTCTGGGGCGCCCTCCAACAATTCCAGTGAGGCCAGGTACTAGAAATGGAAATTAAATTAACAAAAGAATAGTTAAAGCTATCTTCAAAACATCAGAAGAACATTTAGAACAACGAGTGGAAGAATTAGAACATTATCATAGCTTGAATTTTTCCTTTAATACACATTTAATAAATACAGGGAAGCATCTATAATCTCAAAGTAATAAAATAACATTTTATACAACAGTCAAAAAGGCAAAACATGCAACTGTGACTATTAACAAAAAAATATTTTAAAATGTGCATAAGCTACGTCTTTAGATTCTCCTTCCCAATATTTTGTATGCCAGTGAGGCGATACATTTGATAAAGAACTTCGCTTTAATCTTTTTGTCGCTGTTTTTTTATTTACTTTTAATGAGAGCAGAGAAACAATTCTGATCTGGACCATGCTTTCTTTTAATATTTGTTTAATATGACTTTGCTTGTTAGATTAACTGTTTCAGATTAACTTGCACCATTCTCTCTAGCACTTTCAGTAGCTAACTTAGCTTTCTTAAGGTGCTGGGTACTGCAGATCCCATTCTCTCTCCTTGATACATAGGGGCTTAAGGCACTAGAATGATCCCAGATTTGCAGTAAGTCAGCACTGTGATTAGATTCTTATTTATTCTCAGTATCAGGTTGTAAAGCTTTACTACCATTAAACCCATTTGGCCAGCTCAGTATTTCTGAAAGGAACAGCTCTGCTCTCCTCTTCCTGAGCATAGCTTCTCACCCTTCTTTCTGGCATGGACAGCACACGTACATGAAGCATCAGAGCTCCACAGAGTATTGCAGGGGGAAGAAACAGTGAAGTGCATACTTCAGTATGCACTTCATTAAATCAGTCTAGGAATTAATTAGCAAGTGTGTTAAGCAGTCTCCTAAAAACAAGTGCTGTGGAAAGCTGCCCACATGTTGTATTTGGTCAAATTAATTCTGGCTAAAATGGGCTTCCTGCTTTCTCCAAGTGTGAATTCTGTTTGTGCTCTAAACAGACTAAAAGCCATATAACTGTGCTGTTGTGCTACTAAACTCACAGTGATAATCCCTACTTCTCAGCTGGCTGTTCTATCTTGGATTCAGTGCCTCGGTAATGTGAACACATATCAGTAGCAGCATAGATTACAGTCCTGCCATATTCATGCTCACTGGAAGTGACTTCCCCCCCCAAAAAAAGTCTATGTTTTACAGTAAAGGAAAAAAAATGCCTTCATAAAAAAAGCACCATGAATAAACACCTCTCTACCCACTAAGTTCTGCTGAAAAAAATGTGGTAGTGGATACATTACAAAAAAATCCCTTACACCAGTGTTTACACAATTTTAAATGATCCAGTGAGGTTTCAGCACTGTACATGTCACTCATTCAGGCAGAGCTGCCATCCAACAACAAAACCAACTACAGTTATTTTATTGAACTAAGCGCCTAGTTTGTTTATTTAGGTTGTTGGAGGAAGAGGCTGGATATGGAAAGGTCATGTTGAAAATATAGGTTCATGAAGCTAGTTATCTGTGGATTGTCACATGGGTCACTTCCTGCTAGGCAGCTGAATTGCTCATTAAGGATACCAGATTTTGCTCCAACATCAGTTTCAATTTCCTGAAAGCTCTCAAAGAAAATTCTTCACTTGCTGGCTCTCACAGTGGATCTTGGCTCCTACAACAAAGCAGTTCTCTAAACACTGACCAGAAAACAATCCACCTAAGAGCAACCACTGCTCACACCTCGAGGTTACAACTACCTTCTACTGCTGCTTGCTACTGCTGCTGTTTGAAAGTTCTCCACCACAAGCTACTGTAAAAGATCTGTCTCTGGAGGTACTACACCTACCCCTGCACGTAAATGCGATTGCAGAGCAAAGCTACACCAATATCCCAGTTGGAATGTTATAAAGTTCTATCTTATGATTATCCAATCCTTTGCTTATGTGAACATAAATAAGATGGAAGCACTTTTAAGTCCAATTTAATTTTATCTATATGCAATTCCCGCTTAGGATTCATGTAGAGAAGATGAAGTCAATTTTAAACTGATTGTGGCTTACAGTGATTTGTTTTTCGTGTAAACAGCACTAGAGCACTACACCTCACCTCAACTCATGGCTCAGATCCCCATTACATTTCTCCAGTCAAGCAAAAGGAAGCAGCAGAAGGTGATGTACAACCAGGTAACAGTGGGCTTGTCACTCTGGCCAGACCTACTTCTGCTAAGTAAATTGTGATCTCCTTGGATCAACCGCTGCCCCAAGACAATACCTTCAAGAAGATTTCCTCATGCAGAACTTTATGCTTACTTTGCATTGCTTCCTTAAGTATCTGTGCAGACACTCTCCTTCCCTCCTTTCAGGAAGATTTATCTTTATCTACCCTGACATGAACAATTTGTCATACTTGCAGAGAGTATCTATCAGGCTGCAGTCTCAAGTCACTATAATTCTCAGCTTAACCGAAGCTGTTGTTCTCCTTTCCCAGAAACTTCACGAGCTTTTGTTATCAGAGCTCCATTCATTAGTTACTCAAGGTAGATAAAAGTATCATCTCATCTGCCACCAGTAAACCTCTTGAACAAGTCACTTCAAGTTGAAGAACAACTCACCACCGCTGTCTGTCAAATTCCATGCCTCAGAATGGCATAGAACTGATGCATTGCAAAACCAGCTGAATACCTTCGGGTTGGAGACCTTGCTTTCAGTGCATTTATATACTGACCCCATTCACCTGTAGGTACAGTATTTGTCTGGTGTAATCAAACTGTGTATTATGATACTTATTGTGATTCAAGTGTTTGATCCAAAAGCCTGCCATTTCCAAGAACATTTTCCCTCACATTGTCTGAGGACCTAGCCCGATAACTAAAAATTCTCCAGGTGGCCAGGCATTTGAAACCAATGAGCCAGTACTAAGGATTACACCGCTGGAATTCCACTGCTTTCCTTAACATCCAAATATATGGCATGGTCAGAAAAACATCAGGCACTAAGTCAACTAAATCTACTTCTTTCTAGGTGACTAAGCACTGGTATAGGACCATTCCTTTGGACTCTGTCCTTAAAGGTTTGAATTTACACTGAATCTAAAATATAAGGAATCAATTATTAGTTAGCAAGTGCTTCTCTTTGGTTAATCTGCACAATTCGTCATGAAGTCTTATTCTGTCTTTTCATTTTATGACTCCTTCCTTTAGCCTACTTTAACTCTTACTCATTTGCAGCCCAAGTACCTTAGGAAAAACAAATCATCAACCTCTGACTGTACATGGATGTGTAATTTCTCACATTTTTTCCTTCGTGTCCATGATTCTTCCAGCATAGCTGCAAAACCCCAAATTTTGGGTCCAATAGCAAACTTGATCATATATGATATGCTGGAAAAGACAGCAAATTTTTGATAAATTTCATGAACAGAGGTAGCAGGCAAACAGAAGAGTACTGGGAAAACCAACATTGCTCTCAGTTGGGACAATTCAGGGAATGGATCCACTGAAAATCAGCTCTGGGAAAAAGATGTATAAAATTGGCCCAAACAAGTACCATTTCAATATGCAGAACTACTATGTTTTAATACATTATAATCTATGCCATAAGTATCACACCCTGTAAAATACCCCACAGCAGAAGAAGCTCTGGTTGGAACCTGGACCTATGAGATGCAAATTTCCAGCAAAGTAAGCTTCATTCCTTTCAGCTCTGGTAATTCTCCACTCGATTTTAGATGGTGGAAGAGCCTTATGTTTTGCCCAATTTTGGATTATTACTATTTATTCTTTAATCTACTTCTGTCAAAATATAATACTTCTGTACAACTCTGTACACTTTTCAACAGAATAGACCATTACGCAATATATGTAAGATGCTAGACTGCTTGAAGCATTTTTTTAAAATGTTTTGGAGTAAAAAAAGTATGAAAATGTTCCAACTATTGGCAATCTAAAAAGCTTTAAGAGCTTTAAATTTAATAGGTGACACTTTCTTTGAAGCTTCACAGAATTCCAAAATACAGTGATGTCTCTTGCTCACCAGCTTTCAGCTTTTGACTCTAAATAGTTTCGTTCCTCATATTTCCAGTGATTGAATTAGCTCAACCAAAAGGTTATTAATGTATTTACTGCATATTCTAAAGAGTTATACATATATTTATATATAAAAACCAGATATCAAAACTGTCAAGCATTATTTTTTAAGTGATCAAACTAGGCAAATCTGAAATCTCAGGTTTTATACTCCACAGTTCTTACACTATGGTTGAGCACTAGTACAAAATGCATACATTTTTTACAGGAGTCAATTACAGTTCTTAATTATTCTATCTGTCCTCTGAAAACAGCAGATAGTTTATCTTCTGCAATATTAGTCTCAAAAAATGGTGACTGCAGTAAACTGCTAGAACAAGGACATTTCTGAAGTATCTTCCAACACACTTAGGAGATCAGTCATAATATTTACATATACTCAAGCACTTTAAAATCTCAAGTTGTATTAACCAGCTGTCATCTTAGTGTCAAACTCCGGTCATTTTAATGTGAAATAAGGGTCAGCGCATGATTTCAGCTATTAGCAAAACATTTCTTAGCTACTGAACCCCTGTTAAACTATAAATGCCAGTTTCCCACAGTAAGGCTCTTCTTGAGCCTCTTCTACACTGCACTTCATTCAGAATTAAATATCTGAATTAAAGAAGACAAAATAAATACACTAAATCAACACAAATTATTTCAATTCTAACCACTTGGCTGACTGTACTGTATATAATGAAGACATTTTCACCAAGTAATACAAGCCTGGTCTGTGTTTGCTAGCTTTTATGAAGTGAGGGTAAATTTCTATGGACAGGACAATGCAGAATTGCACTGAACTCCCATAGGCTATTACAGATTTAAAAATCTGAGTCTACATGTCTAGGATTCTTCAATGCCAAGTTTAGGAAAGGTCACATTATATAACAGGAGAAAAACTGTGAATACCCCACTATTGGGACTAAACAGTTCACGTTTAAAGTCTTGGTTTGTTGTTTTGCCTTTTTTTTTTTTTTTCAGGAGACCATACATGCTTAAAAACCAAACAAACTTACTGGATGCTCTTAAAAAAACCCTGGCTATTATCAACTTTCAGACTACTGAGGACTAAACAGAAAGCATGATTTTATCAATTGAAAGTTTAACAAACTCAACTGCTAATTGTAAAAAAAAAAAAAAATGGAATTAAGTGTGTTTGGCCTTTTTTTTTAATAATTTGTATCCCTTTAAGTTCATCAGAAGAGCATAATCCAAATGTAAAATGATTAAGTGTTTGAACTGGTAAACTAAATACCATACTCAACTGAAGTTTACAGTAAATGTCTTCCATTCCAAACAGAAAATAAACAACAAATTGCTCTCTAAGGTATGGCATGTCTACATACAGTAGCTTCAAATTCTTCTCTGAGCTTAAGAATCTCATCTGCAGTTTCAATAATACTTAAAAACAATTTCTGTGGAAGTACACTCATGTGTCCCACTGGTCTTCAACAAAAACAATGGAAATTTAAAAAGCATTAAAAAAAATGTTAGGGAATGTCTATGAAATCTCTATCTTTCACTCTTGATTATGGAAGCCTCTTATTAAGAGATGCAATTTCTCAAAATTCTCTCTTGTAGGTCTAACTCCTTGTCTATATTGCAGAGCACAAACACACAGGCTTCAGCCCATTCCAACATATAAATGGCATTCCTTCTTTTTACAGAGGATAAGATTCCATAAGAAATTGAGAATGTCAGATCAGCACAATGCCTTGAAGATGGTTGTCTTTCTATTGATTACCAGAAGTAAAGATCTACCATAAATGGAGGAAGAAGGGAGGGAGAAGGAGTAATCAGCACTCTTAAACTGACTAAAAGCTATAGAAGCTATACAGTACTTTCCTTTTATGAGGTCTAAGTTTTATTATCCTTTACATATATGAATGCACAAAAAAAATGTATCCTAACCAAAAATCATGTTGCCAAGTAAGTCAGAAGTTAATAAATACTAACATTAAGACTTTAAATTCACTAAAAGCACATCTCTGACACTCAAGACCTAACACCCGAAGTTCTAAGTCTCTGAAGTGAAGCATTATGAAGATCACTCCTCAACAAAATTATTGTGCTTTTTAATCACAGGACAAAAAAGAATTTCTTTTTATCTTACTGTTCTTCTCTGCAAAGTCTGAAAAGATGTAAATGAAAACTCCCTCAAAAAGTTTCAGGTAAATAGCTAAAACATTTTATCTCAAGTGCTTCAAATTTAGTCTAAGTGAAAATAACCAAAACTAGTCTTTTAGTACTGACTTTAAAAGAAATTAATACCTATTTTAACTGCAATTTATAATTTTCATATTATGGTACTACCAAAATAAAACTACCTACCAACTCTAGCTCAGGGCTTCACAAGTAGTAACTAGCAGGCTAAACCCATCTGATGAAACACTAAGAGTGACAGTTCTCCTGGATTTCATCTCAAAAGATGCAGCAGGATCTCTTGCGACTCCGCACCCTTATTCTGAGCCATCAAATATCCTTTCCTTTCTCAATCACTCTTCTCTTCTACTCCTCATTCCTCAATTTTAGACAGCTTGGTCCCCTTAAAGATTGGTGGAGTTGCTCTTCAGCATTTCTTACAGGGAAAGCAGAACCAAGGACTCTGATTCACATTCTTTTGTCATTATACTTTCTTCCACCATCGCAGGAAACCATCTGTAAAGCAGATAAATACTTTCCAATGTTACTAGAAAATACAAAGCTTAGCTGACTGTCTTTACACAGCTTTCTAAAGGTTCTTGGATGAAAGGTGCTATGTATGAAAATTATCATCTGTACAACTGTCCACACATCACTTAGAGTAACAAACACCAAACTGCTATTGAGGTGAAAGAATAGAGTTAAAAACAATACTTTGCAATCACTAGATACAGGTCAAGCAGATGGGCAATTTTTTTTTCTTTTTTTTCCTGTTTGTCTGGTACAGATCTAGTAAATGTACTTTGTTTTTTAAAGGTCACTCTTAAATGTCCGAAAAATAACATAATGCAAATGTTTCAGATCAAGTGACATAACCCTGCAAGTCAACAACTCCTCCTTTCTCCCTGCTGTCCATTATGAAGGATCTATAATTTCTTCCTGCTTTTTCTCAGTTCTTCATTAAAATAATAAGCAAAATAAGAAGAAAAGGGTTGTTTGCCATGACTCTCAGTCACTATCTCACCTCCTGGAAGTGAACTAATGCAGGAGAGCTGGGAGGGGCATTACCAAGCTGGCAATCCTTGAAACACAAGACTTCATTGTTTAAAGGATTTTCATCAGGAAAAGCCACATGCTTAAAATCTCACTTGGTGTGCACCCCCACAACTGCCACCATTTGGCAGAACAAAGCCACACAAGGTTACATCACATAGATCCACGTGGGAAGTGCAAAACCACATCTCATAGGTATGCTCCATCCATATAAGATAATTCACCTAGGACAACAACAATCTCAACAATCTTGGGTCTGGCTTCTGTTCCCAAGATCATTTACCCATCTATTCAAGTCTTGTCTATGGAGCTGCCTGTTTTAAGATAATTAAGCATCAGGAATTCCTTGTTCTGCTCTTCCCAGCAAGTCCTGAAAATCTACACTACTGTCAGAAACTAAGCATTGTTAAGCTGACTCAGTTATTAGTACACAACTAATTACTGTTTGGCAGGGTTTCACAATTCTAAATCTCACTGAAGAAAGAAAAGACTCTTCATAATGACTGCTTTAAGCATATTCCACATCAACAAGTAGCCTACTAAGCATTTATATCCCAAATCTGACCCTTCTCTGCATACAGAAGAGTTTATTTGGTGCAGGTAATGCAGAAATTCATCACACAACAGCAAGTGAAACAAGTGACCATACAAAGCAGTCACAATATATCTTCAACAAATTAAAAAGAATGACTATGTGGTTGTTCAAGCACTCAGAAGCATGTCAGCAAACAGCAGTAAACAGCTCTGATACCCTCTGACACTAGTTATTTATATCATGGAGGCCAAAAATCTTGTTGCAGTCCTGTACCTGGCAAGCAAAAGTGTTGTTTATCACCAGATGCTCCAGATGATGCCAGAAATATCCTCTTTGCCTTTGCTGCTCATTAGCAGCACTTCTGTAACTGAAACAGATTTCAATTTTTTTTGAGAATATCTGCTACAGGATGTTCTAAAAAGCTTAAGCTATTCCCTTAGGAAACAAAACTAGCATCCCTACCACCATCCACATAGACAGCCTAACCCCATTCTACACAGGAATGCATTTTTTCATCACAAAAGCCCTGATAATATGAACTGAAAGTCTGCCAGCCACCTTAAAGCACAGATGTTCACATACTATGGTAACGAAATTTCCATACTGTATATACTCCACCCAATCCATGTAGTGCAGATTTTCCACTTTTTTCATTCTGCAAAGATCAACAGTAAAAGGAAAAAACTGAACCCTTAGTAAACCTAACACTTTCAGACTTCAAAGGTGGTTTCTATATGTAGCAGTTGCTTTATAAAAGAAGCAGCAAAGACAGAGAGACAAGTACAGGTCCATTAGCTTTGGATCTGACAAATAAGCAATTATTTTAAAATCCACCCAGCTTCATTCAAAAAGATGTTTTCTAGGGAATTGTCTACACATATGTAGAATAAATAGTAAGAATAGATTTTTACTTCCATAGTAATTTTTTCTTTACTGATTCGGTAAAGGAAAAACTACTTCAGTTACAAATCCCTAACTAGTTACAGAAATGACAGTTTGGTCCAATGCTGAAAATACCATTTTTCATTCATTAGCTAAAACCCAAGTCTTTAGAAGCAACATATATCTGTGCTACATGCTCACCCGCTAATCAGCCTTCAGAATTGCAAAATTTTAAAATATTATCTCAATGAATATTTGCAATTAGTTTTATATGACCATACTCTATATTGTAGGGATAAAAAAAAAGATGATCATGCACTGACCTTGTCACTATAAACACAACTTTTAAAAAAACCAACAAACCATCCTTCATTAACTGTTCTCTGCTACTGCTGTAAAGACTAAAGCACAGAATGCACACGCTTCTAAGTAATTTTGAATCCATTGAAAAAAAAAAAAGACTAGTTCCTTAACTGCAAGGCAACACCTAACCACTCCTTCATTAATCAGGATTCTAGATTTGCTATGGAAGTTCAGAGTTTCAGGTTAAGCTCATGGAATTTAGTTTTGAAGATCTATATAAATCCTAGGTATAGTTTTCATCAAGATATGCAGAAGCCTTTGCAAAATATCTGAGCTCTAGTACTCAAAATAAGGAAATTTAAATTCATTTTAAATGGACAATAAAAGCCAGATTAGCATCCACAACGTAACCACCAAATCACAACATATGAATGAGCTACTTAGAACTGAGATGGATACAGTGGCGACACTTAAGGGACTCACGAAGAGAACAGAAAAAAAGAGTTTGCTCAAAATAATCAAACAGTAAGTCCCTCCAGAGCATTTAGAGAATCCAATGACATTTACAAAGAACAAACGTGAATGTTTTTGGAACAAACATTAGGTAACCAGTAGAAGTACAGATCACTTCACATTAGGTGACTTATGCAAAAACTTTACAATATACCCTCAAGACTAAGATGGACTTAATTAAATCCCAGTATTTTAACTAATATGTCAATTAAAAAATAAATCTTTTAATCATTGCAATACATCACAAATTCATACAAAATCAAACACTGAAGACAGAATAATTTGAGGTTAGACATAATACTGCAAGATGGTAATTTAAGTTGGGTAGTTAATATGCACTATGAATAAGAATTAGATGCAGCACTTATACAAGCAGCTACACATTAAACAGGTTAGAAGTACAGTAGCATCAATAAAAATCCTTTGCAGTAACATCAGATAATAAAGTACTGAAGAGAACCTTCAGAACCCTCCAACTGCACAGCTCTTCATAAACTACAATGTTATAGCAGGACACTGTGGTAAATTTTTGCCAGCTGAGTAGCACTCAGTGCTTATTGCCAGTGAAGTCTAATACCATCACTAACTTAAAGTAACATGGTAGAAGACAGTAAAACACTCAGTGCAACCACATGTAGGAAAACAAAGACAAATAAGGAAAAGGAAAAAAACCAGGAAGGAACAGTGGCAGCAATGGAAAGATAGAGTCTCAGAGGAACACAAAGACAAACTCTCAGGACTTTCATTTTATCATTTTGCTAATGTCTGTGGGTTCCATCCCTACACCAAACATAAGTACCCTTTAAAAAATTATTTCATTATGCACAACACAGTGAAGTTGAACAGAGCTTCTAAACTGAACATAGCTGAATTAAGTCTTTGGGTCCTAGTCATGCTCAGAGAATTAAATAAAAAAGTAACTTTAAAATTCTTAGAAGACAATATGAGTACTTACCCATGCCAGTTCCAGCTGGTGCAATCTCTCTAGAGAAGATTTCTACAGCTTCTTTTTGTTTATGGTGTACAGCAAGCCAAATAACAGCTTCCCGAGGACCCTGCTTCAAGAAGGTTGAAATTAGATTAGCTTAGATGTAGAATATTGGTTAAATTTACCAAACTGAAAAATAACTGTAGCTCAGCATTCAAGTTAAACTATTCAGTGACTTTTCATCCACCATCATTATAATTTGCTATTAATATTTCATTATCTTCCTTTTGCTACCACAGAATCAACTATTGGGTATTTCAGACTGCTAGGACACTGTACCTCTTCTCCAGCATTCTCCAAGAATTAAGTACTGTAACTAACAATACCAAATACTTGGCTTCACTCTCAGTGGATCTGGCAAACAAACTTTACTCTTAAGTGCACTGAGAGTACTTTGGGGTCAGATTAGAGAGCCAGATGCACTTCTCTCAGCATCAAGAAGGAAGCAGATCTGTCCACAGAAAACAATTCAAACCTAATCTTTGGGACGTACACATGAGAACAGAACGTGTAAAACTCACCAGGATTTCAGAGAAAAGAGGAGATGCTCCCTCTAAAGGTAAATCAAACCAGTACTGTGCTCCCAACTCTACAGTCAACTAAAACACCTGCCCTTGCAGACAGATAAGCACTGTCTCTTGTTAAAGATTTTACTTCTCTAAAAATCTGCTATCAGCCACTGAAGGATCCACAGTTGGAACCAATATACTGGCAAAAGCCTTAGACTGAACATTAGGTCTCACTGAGGGCAAAGACTATTTATTCAAGAATTTGCAATCACCAGCAGGAACCACCTTTAGTTCACCTTTGAATCTATGAAATCTGCCCACAATAGAAGTCTGTTTCTGAATGTCTCTTACTTGCCTTAAAGCACAAGTGCAAGTACATATGAAATGGGATTGCACAAGATGTCAAAATCTGCTGGTCAGGAGTTTCTCACAGCACTACTCAGGTACAGAGTTCTGCAGCAGAGTATTTCTTCTCTCTTGAAGTCATCTCTTGTTTTGTTTATGAATACAAAGGTTCTAAACGTTCTTTGGTAACCTTACGTGAAATTCTTGGTTTACTTAAATCAATATAAAAATCAAAAAAGGATAAGTGACTACAAGACACTAGGAGATTTCTTCCAGTGTTTATATCCTTCTTCAAGTTAACAGGAAAGGATGTATTTCATAAAAGCATGAAAAAAACCACGAAAGTTTGTGCGGAGTTACTTTCTCTTGTTATTCCACAGAGCTTAGAGCACTTCATAACTCTTTAAATGCCCTGTCTAACTAATTTCTTTCTATTTGTTAGCTTTTGATATCCCAAAGAGATCATTATGTTAACAGACTACTAAACCTATTCCAACTGAAATACATGACAAAAATCCCTCAATAAAGAGGATCGCTTATGTCAGGTTATACCAAGGGAGGAAAACTTCCTACTTCATAGCTTGTGATCAGTTAAAATTCGATAATGAAGGGCCTTCTTGTTTTAGTATGTTTAAACCAATGTCCTAAGTATTCATGAAGCTGAAAGAATACTTTTCTCTACTCCCAATTCTAGCGGCATATCCACACAGAGGTACTCTGAGGTAATAAAAAACATAATTGCTTCCTTTTTTCTTAAGTACTCCTAAATAGACTCATAGGACACACACAGTTCATTTCTCAGCCTCCAAGCTCTCAGCCTGGAAAATACCTGCCATAATACTCTCACACTGGAAATCCTGCAAACTTGATTCACATTTCTATCAGATGATTTCAATACTTGTGTAGGCAAACCCTAAAATAAAAGTTTAGTAGAGCCAAGGTAGAAAAGGTTATATTCTTTCTGATCATGTAGATCAGGCATCACTCAAAGGATAAAAATTTCCTTCTATGAATATAGGAAGAGATGTCCTGATCAAGATAACAGAGATAACAAATATCTCTAGAAAAAAAAAATAAATTCCAGTTTAAGAAAGTTTCACTAAGCTGCTGTAAAAAAACAGTTGCTACACAAAAAATATGCAGCCATGCAATGAACTCAACAAATGAGTAATTTTAACATTTACTGTTCCCAAAGCTATCACATGATTCATTAAATTACTACAGATAATAATGAATAGGAAATGCCCTTGTACAAAACACACTCATGCATTCACATGCTTCTATTTCATTTCAAGTTCTAGGTTTACTTCCTTGCTCACAGTTGCAACATACAATGGTCCATTAAAATAAGATGAATCCTGTTTTCAGTGGCTGAATCCAGTATTAAAACTAGATATATGAACTATTTTGAAGTCATTAATCTTCCAGTATCAGAATTAAAATAAAAAATAAGAAAACAAAGTCTTAACAATGTGTTGTACATCAGTTAACAAAGGGTTAGCAGAAAACTAACAAAGCACATACGGTTTTTATGTAGCAAACTCTAATGCTCAATGTACTATTAATAGATATCTTTTACATTAAACACATCTAGTATTTCTAAACAACTCACTGACACTTTGTCACTGTCTGAACTCCTTCCCTCAGCAAAAAACGACAGAACAGGAGATATTAAAAAAAAAAAAAATTCAAACACCACTATGGTGTCAATTCAGGTCTCTTTCTTGCTCATGCTGGACTACTGCTGACAAAGCAAGCTACCAGAGTGAAAGGCAGCAACCACATAAACAGGCAGAGAAGTCTGAGAAAGGAAAGGGGGCAAGCACTCCTTTATTTCTCAAGGATACTTCATGCCGTCGGAAAGAGTCAAAACTCCACACAGCAGCTCAGACTACAGTATACAGGCCTATATAAGCCTGGCATTTACAGTGACTTCACAGCTGCAAAGGCAAACCTCTGCACTAGTTTGAGAGATGGGCATGAGAATTAGTCCAGCCAAACCAGCTGTCTACACAGAGCTCCAAATGTTATTCAACTTACCCTGTCTTGGTATTCACTTATATATTTGCTTCTCTTCAAATTTATATGGTAGAACCTTCAAGGCAGGAACTGTTTTCCTTTTGTGTTAATATTCTGCTTAGCATAATATGGCTCTGGTTTAGACCACTGTGATTTCTAACCCAAATAACCATGTCTAATCTTGCATGGAAAGACATGGTAGGAAAGAGTGTTTAGGGGACCACATTATTCCTACCTGAAGCCCCAATGAGTAAATGTTTTCCTTAGGATTCTATGACTTTATATTTCAAATAGAAAAGCAAATCCCAATCCCCAACCCTTTTTCTCAAGCTACTACGTCTGCTTTCCAGATGAAAACTCCTCTGGCTAGTTTCTTCTAAAAAGCCGGAGGAACCACGAAGCGGGAAGGCAATAGAGCGATTTCCTGCATTTCAGCCTTAGCTCTCACATCCTGTTTAAGGCATGTATGAGAAGCACATACAATGGTGGTAACTCTGTGTTTACTTTTAATATGAGACCTGGGAGCTGAGGCTGGAAATACAGAAAATACTACAAAATACTCAATTTCATTTGAAAAAATTCTTCAATTTTCTGCAAGCAAGGCAAACTCAACAATCAGGAAGGAGAAATTGCTCTTCAACTCATTATTCACTCTATACAATGACAGAAAACCTCCGATGTAACAATTTAATTAAAGAATATATTACAATGCATAATCATAAGAAGCTGGTACGAACAAAACACAGACAAGTTGAACATCTGGGACATCTGTTCCTATGTTTCAAAATTTTGATGCTGCAATCTCAGTAACACACTTAAAATTGCAGGCTTTATGATCCTAAAATGAAAAAGACCACATTATAATGCTCAGTCCTCAGGAAGCAACTCCTGTTGCTGTGCAGAAGGAAATTGAAACTCGAGCACTGAAACGAATAGCTGCAGATATAACTTGAGCAATTACTAAGAACACTTAATTTTAGTAAGAAGTTCACTGTCCTTCTCCAGATCACATTCTTTTTTCCCCATACAACACCAATTGTCAGCTATTAAGTGTCAGCACTAAGAACAAACTTAGAGTTTTGCCACGTGTACCTTAAGAGTTTTCCAAGACTGCCACTGACAAAGAAGAATTAAATGCTACTGTTTTGGAACAAATTAAACTGTCTAAATATTTAAAGTGCATGTAAGTGAGGGCAAGATTTACATTTTTCCTTTAAAAAGGACTTTCATACTCTCAGATTAGGAAAACAGACCATGGATATCACAGCTGCAGTGGCTACAGCCATCATTCATATTCCTACATATGAATTTATTCAGTCACAAAATACAATGCAGAATTAGGCATGTGAAGATTATTTCACAAGTAGTACTCACAGGCAGTTTTAAAGTTGTGCAGGCAACAATAATGCTGATCCTTCCTGACTCTGCAATATTTATAATGTGGTCTTTCAGCATTACATTTAACGCAATTTAAGTCTATGCGACCAAAACTTTATTATAAGACATTTCTTTAGATGAACAACATTAGAATGGACCACAACAACACTTTTGTAAGATTTTATATCAGTGCCTCTGGAAGACCCAATACTGCAAAGACCTTGCCAGTGTTAATTTTGTACACTAAGTAGTGACACTGAATTCTTTGCAACATGAAGGGGTGAAATTCCCAAGATGATACTGACTTCCTTTAAAGTTGTGGAAAAGATAACAATGTGGAAAGATTAAAAGAGGTCAGTAAAAGTTTAAGAACACTCCACTGAATACTTACACCATCTATACTCCTTCTAGCATGAGGTCCATATGTATCTTCAGACCCTAAAATCTGTATGTTAACTGCACTGTAATCTTCATAACCGAGCTGACTGAAAATAAGACGAGTCCTGCAACAAACGATTTTTTTTTATTAGTAAACTGCCTCAAAACAATTATCTGAAGTAGCCCTGTGTGGTCCACAGAAGTTAGCTCTGTCACGTAAACTGGACCATGGATACTTTACACTAAACAAATATATCCGAAAACTACAAATCAAGTGATTACTGACAAGGAAGTCATGCCTATGAATTTATCCCTGGGTTTCAAACTGAGCCTTTTGTTTATTCAAATTATTTGAAAGATGATAAGCAAAGACAAATAAATGTATTTCAGTTCTTACTGTTATCTTTGAAATAAAGAGAGCTTCAAACGTCACTAGAGTATATGCAATCTTCCTGGGTTTCACACTGCTAATTCAGTTTGTAACTCTGTTTCTACTATAAGGCATTACGAACTACCGATAAATACAAGAAACAATCTTGTTACATCACAGGCACTGATGAAGGGGGGGGATCAAATGAAGGAGAACCACTTATTCAAGCCTAAAAGATGATTACTTGGAATTAATGAACATACAACTCAAATGCCAAAAAGCATATGTTTTTAAAGAGCACGTTTTTTCATCACTTGTGCCTGTCCAGTCTGACACTGCAATCTCTCAAATTCTTTTTATAAAACAGATATTCCCACTACAAAGCACATTGTGTTGAGTGCCCAGTCTGTCCAATCACAATAAAGAGTATGAACATTACCTTTTTATACAGCACGAAAACACACACTGCTTTAAGAGAGACAGGAATTAATGCTGGGTTTTGACAAATAATAAATTTGGAATAAATAGACTGCTTGCAACAACTCAGAAAAAACAGCCCAACTGTGAAGTACTAAACCCAAAAATGACTACAGCTAACAAAAAAAAAAATCATATGAAGACCAAAAAAAAAAAAAAAAAAAAAAAAAAGACAAACCACAACACAAAAACTCCACAGTAAAAAAAAGTTAGAAAAAAGTTTTAAAGCATCCAACTGTTAAAAATAGTCTGACTTGTTAACATGTTGCAGACTGGAAAAATAAGTTAAATTCTGAAGACCCTAAACTGGTTTCCTAAGAATCTTAGTCTGGCACTCTTCTAGATCGAAAAAAGATTTTATCACTTGAAACACTGGAATTATGTTAGGATGAGAAAAATAGTTTGCATAGGTGAAACATTTCAAAGACACTGCTAATATATCATTTTTGTCATAAATATTAGCATGGCACCTGAAAAAATGAAGCAATGTACAGGAGTTAAATACAAAATATAATTTTCTAATTGCTGTAAAGAGATGAAGGTGGTTCATGTACCACAAATGAGGCCACCTTTAATTTTGATGAGAAAAAAGGAAAAGAGACCTCATTTAAGGTAACTAATTTGCAAACTGTGTCTGTAGTAAGTTATTTTAAATTATTTATCTACAAACATTACAGTCAGAGATATTACAGTTCAAAATACATTCTATGGGTAATTTTTAGCTCTTTCATTTGTGTTGGTAACACAACAGAGAATCATCAAAAATAAAAGGACACCAGAGACTACTCCAAAAAGACTTCTTCACACACGTATTGCCAAATCCCTCCTGCTTTCAATAATGAATGTAGTGAGGTGTGGGTCAGTGGTCAGTCACTTCTACTGCGACTGCAGTGAAAGGACAAGAGGAAATGGCCTAAAGCTGAGACAGGGAGATTCAGATTAGATATTAGAAAAAAAATTTTTACTGTCGGAGTGATCAGGCAATTCAAATAGGTTGCCCAGGGAGGTGGTGGAGTCACCATCCCTCAAGGTGTTTAAGAGGTGTCTGGATCTGGCACTGAGCAATGTGGTTTAGGGGTTACAGCGATCATCCTGGGTTGATGATTGGACTTGATGATCTTAAAGGTCTCTTCCAACCTTGATGATTCTATGAACAGGAATTGGTGAAAAGACTGAAGTCAACATTTCCTACTGCTGGTAGAGCATTCTCTGAGAGGGATCCAAACAGTGTAATTCTTATTCTCTGTCTGGGCTGACATACACAAATCTTTTGAACATGCCACACAAACAATTCCACAAATTAAGCTGTTTAAGACTGCATTTGAGATGGAGAATATATTTTTGTGTATTGTGATTTTTAACACACAGAACATGCCTACAGGCATGCCTCATGGGTTAGAGGTTACTTATCAAAATTAGTCAACCAGCCTTCAACTACCTCACATCAGCTTTCTTCTGAGGATTACTCAGGAGACCATAGTAAACAAGCTGAATTAATTTTCTAGAGGTTGGAGAGGCAGCAGCACCACAAGCTGTTTCAATCAGGCAAAAGATTCACGTAGTCCAGTCTGAAATAATGTGCAAGAGCAAATATGAAAGGGAAAATACACCAATCTATTTTTTTTTTTCTAAAATAATGACCTAGCTTCCAGAAAGGGTGCTTTTCAGAGGTTCTGGGTCCCTGAGTCTTTGTATCTAACACCTCCTGGAAGTTTTTTTTCCATCATTTGATTTTCTCAGCAGCTCTTGGACACATACTCTTTTAGCATTTGCACAGTTTACACACCCCTATCAGTCTGCTCTCATCTGTCATGTCTCTTGAGGGAAGTCAGTCAATGACTCCTTCACCATAATGCTGCACACAGGTACATGAGCAGTCACTATAAGTTCACAGTAAACCCTGTATTTCTGACTATTCTAGTGTAGTTGCTGCATGGGTCTATAACAGGATGGCAGGAAGTTTTATATAAAAGGAAATTTATCTCATAACTAGAAAGACTGGGGCTATTGGAATAAATGCTCAGATACTCTTGTGAGGATATGGAATTATATTTAAGAGGAATCCCTCCTTGCCCAAATATACTGACACGAGTGCAGTTATATGTTGAAAGCAGGTTTCCTGAACAGGCTACTTAAGTCTTGAAATATCCTCCAAATAGGAAGATTATAATCTTCAAGGGTTCTTACAATGTTAGAACTGTGACACATGATAGCAACATTATTTTTTTCATTATTTCTGAAAAAAACAAAACAACAAAAAAGCAGATCCCCTTCCAAGACTCAAATACTAACCTTTGCAGAATACCTTCTGCAGTGCGTTTTCCTTTTTGTACTGCCTTTGGACCTCCCACTGGACAGACAGCAGTAGCTCTGAAGCCATCAAGATAAGTGGCATTTACCTAACAATAAAGGGATTATGAAATTACATGCCATTCAGTACTGATATGCAATAAATGCTCTCAAGCAATTATTATCTATACAAATACACACTTATTAACATTATACAAATTAACAAGTTTTTATATATCAAATAAGGTTTGTCTTTTTAAACTTTTCTCCTCTTTCTTTTACTCTTGGGGCAGAGAAGATGAGAATATCTCACACTCCACTGTATGAGATAATACCTTATAAAATGTTGACGGAGGCGATCCTTTGGCTCCACAAACTTTCACTGCTCCACCATCAAAACCTATAGCAGTTAAAAATCAGTATTTAAGCTTCTTCAACATAACTTCAAAGACATTCTTTTGTGATACATATTAATCAAATGCTCTTAATTAAAAAGTAAATCGTTGATAGCTGTACTGCCACAGATGAGAGAACCTCTCACAAAACAGTCCTTCCTGCCTTAGAAAGCACAGTGAACTGGTGACTAAATTTATGACTTCCGTGTGCCTTTTAAAAGGGTGACTGAAATGTTTATTCACACACTTAAAAATACTTAACACAGAAGGCAGCCTTAGGACTTCAGACTCAATAGTTATTTCCCACTAATAGCCAGTTATTGCACACACACACACACAGAACATACAATTTACTGTAGCTGGTTGGAGCAGACTGCAGTCCCTCACTTGGTAAAGAAACAAAACAAGGTGAGAAACCATGAGAGTTTATTTGCTGATAGCTTAATAAATTAAGGGATAACATAACTTTAGTTTTCTTGCCAATAACAGAAACTGAACAGTCTGAATATATGTTCCAGGGTAACTACCAAGTTCAGTGTTAGGAGTATTAGTGCAACAAAAAAAAAAAAAAAAAAAAAATTGCTGTTTTGGCATCAGGTCAAGCTTGAACTAGAGAAAATCAATAGGTGCAACTCCTTTAAAATCAGCAGTGCAGGATCAGCACCTCATGCCAGAGAATTATACTACAGTTCATCTGTACCTAACCTGTGCTAGCAAATATTCAAGAAGCAGTTCAAAGCTTTATACAAATACTCTGAAAAGACTAGATCAAAATATACTCAAAATGTGACCAGTACAAATTTTACACATCACTCAAATAAAATCATCACTCTGCAAGACTGACATGAGGTTAATTTAACTGTCTGAATACAGTCAGGGTGAAGATCTGGAAGAGTTTCATGTTTCGGGTAAAGGAGTAATACAAAGAAAAAAATCCCACAAAACAAATGCATAGCATCCATTGACAAAAAAACCACAAAGGCACCTCTCAGTTCAAACACTGCAAGTAATGCAGCAGCATAATAAAAGTGGCAACGTAAACAGCAGAAGTAGATAGCTTGCCTGTTTTTACTGGTGTACGTGTCAAAGCACTTCAAACTGAAATATTTAAGAAATCTGCCCATTTTCCATCTGTTATATTTCTAAGAGGGCTAACTGAAAGTTCATGTGAAAGTTCATTTTAAGTTCAAACATGTCATATCAGGTCATTTGCAAGCTAAGAGTTCATACGAAGGTTAGAGTTTCTTTAAAAAAAAAAAAAAGACTGGGGGCTTAGAGTAGCAAGCTGGCCTTATCAGACTGCCATTTGGTTATGTTGCATGAGCAGAAGGTTCAATGTATTGTTTTATGGAATTTTTATTATTAAAATATTTTTCATGTTACAGCATTTTCAGTTTTATCACAGTAAGTTTTTAATTTGAGATTTCAGTTGTTCTAAGCTTTATAAAGACACTCGGCATACTGTCACAGATAAGTTCCATTAGAATGAAAAAGGATACAACATAGATGCAGTAAAAAACAAACTTTAAATGACAGTCTTGCTCAAACTACAGATCTTCAAATCTGTTAAGCCTGGGGGTTTTTTGTTTGGTTTGCTTTTGAAGCTAAATCTTGAACATATATTATATCCACCTTTAGCCTACTGCTGTTAAGTGTTTCCAGAATAGCAAATGGACTTTTTCAAACACTGATTTTCTGGGGGCAATCCTGTGCCTAAGCATGCTTCTACCACTTAAGATGATCCACCTAAATTACGAAGTAGTGCTTTGAAAGACTTTCCATTGTTACTAACGCTTAAAATGTCCTGTACACAACCTTTTTTTTTTTGAGAAAAGAAATTGAGCTGCAGTTTAAAAAATATTGAAATCATAGTGGAGCTGTGTCAGTGTTGTTCATGCTGCATACACAGTTTAAGGACTTGGTAGGTGCAGGGCATGCATTAAAAAGTAAAACAAAAGGAGTAGCGATCAAAGATATAAATTAGTCAGCAAGATAAATAAGAGTATGCTTAAAATTTCTAAAGGAATTTCTATAAGAAGTCCTTGAAAAAAATCAGTTTAATACAGTATCACACTCTAAGGAACTGATTTAACAAAAAATATGCTGAGACAACATGGAAATTAAAGTAGCTGCTTTAGTTCGATAACACAATTCATTGACACATCTCTTTACATGTAAGAGGACTAACCTGGAATTTCAGTGATCGAAACTTGGGAAAAGTCACATGTAACATCTGGTAAAAGATAGCGCTGAGGATTTCCCAATTCATATACCAACTGTTCAGCTACAGTGCCAAAAGAGATTAGTCCCCCTGTGTCTGGTGGTTTGGAAAGAATAAAGTCTCCTTCAGAGGAACATTCTACAACGGGAAAGCCTATGTTGTGCCTAGAACATGAAAAACATTAAGAAAATAACCCTATAAATACAAAGGAAAAGTGAAAAGAAAAATTATTAACACCACACCAGAATTATATAGTAATGACCAATTAAAGAAAACCTATCAAGAATTAACAGATCTGGTTGTTTCTACAGAAACATACCTAAGAAAAAGCACTGGACAAACTGCTTGACTAAAATATTAAGAAGATGCAGTTTATTGTCTGGCAAAGAAATGCAGACATAAAAGCAGATACCAACAGCAAACATGGAATTGAGGAGGGAAATGGAGAAGGACACTAACAGAAATGGTTTGAGTAAAAAGAAGATGAAAGAATTAGAGGACTATAATTAAAGACATAAATTCAGAAGAAAAACAATGATTGCTAATTCTAGCCCTGTTTGGTTACTGCAGCACACATAGCATGAAAGGGAAGACATGTAAATACATCCTGCACTCTGGATTTGTAAAAAGGCAGTAAAAGCAGGAAGAACAAACTGTACTGGAAGCCTCAGAGATGAAGGGAAGTAGAAAACAGGAATAATCACACATATTAAGGACAATTTCACATCAATGATACACAGAATAGTTTTAATCACAGGCATAGCAAAACCAAAAGCAGTAGAGTTATAGATATGTTCATAAATTAAAATATACTTCCCCCTCACATTCTCACAAGCGTTAATATACAAAATTAATTGAGTAACTCATAATAAGAGGCACATGTTGGTCATTACAGCAGCAGGGCAGAATTTTCGGGATTATATGGATGAGATGCAGACATCTGCTTTTCTAGGTAAAAGGTTTTTATTTTATTTACAGAGAATTTGAGCAAAATTAAGGACTTAAAACTTTTCAGAAGTACCTGAGATTTAAAATAAGTGCTAATATTCTTCTAAAAAGGCTACCTGGCTAACCCTCTCACAGGAAGTCTGAAATTTGTACATGTGTCCCAGAAACACAAAATGAACACAAAAAGAGAAGGAGATATAGACCCTTGCCAAAGTTAAACTGTTCTAAAAAGGTCCTAATAATGAAAGGTGGTGAACTTCACCACACTCATTGAAGTCAGTGACCCTCAGGTCTCTCACACAAACTTAAAATCAGTCTATCCCTGAATTTAATTATTTGCTGGTGGTAACAATGTGCTGAACATACAACCAAATTCGTTATCAGCAAAGGTTACATGAACATAGTTTGTTTAACATAAATCCACAAAGTTTGGAAGAAAGTAAGCAAAGAAACCAGTGAACTCTTAAGGGACATTTGTAAAAGTTCATGGGAGTTTGAGCAGATTCCTTATCATTGGGAATATTCAAACATAACCCCATTATTTAAAAAAAGGATTAAGATACAAGATCTGTTACCAGAGATCAGCAACTTTAATGCTTATAGCATACAAAACTTTAAAAGTATGGTAGCTAGTAAACACCTAGAAAAGCCCACATCAAATCAGTAAAGATTATACTTCAATTGACTGGTCTTTGAAACTAGTTAAACCACCAAACAGATGTAGGGAAACAAAAAAAAGCCCACCCTGGTGAATGCAAAGAATTGAAAGGAATCAACAATTTTTTATACAAGTTATTCTAGTGGGGTTTTTCTAGGGGAAGAGGAGGGAGAAAAGACGGTGGCAACAAGTATAACATACCACATTTTAAAGAGTAACGCAGAAAAAACCAACACCCCAAACATCTCTCAATTCTTGATCTTGAACATTAATGTAGGGTAATAGACTAACGTATGTAATTATCCCAATTTTGTAAGTAAGGAGATGCATACAGGAAACATCATGATTTGTCCAGGGTAACAAAGCAGGATCGGTGACTGAACAAGGCTAGAATTAAGATGCTTTTACCCTCTTGGTGCCATCCTTGTGTGTTTGACCCTACCATCTATCTGTCCTAAGTCAACAGCACCTTGTGAGTTAGGCTCCAAGCAGCTTATTTGAATCACCTATCCAAAACATATCCCTTCCCTCAAGACAGATCACCCAGTGCAATCTCACTGCACTGACAACCAGCATCCCTGTTGCAGCCCACTTTGATCTCAGCACATGGAACTCTTACGATACATTCCTGCACTTATTCCTGAGTGACCTTTGTTTGGAAGCAAGAACTAGACTGTAGACACTCAACTTCCTACTCTGAACCACTGACTCTACTGACAGTGATTGAACTTCATTTTGCCCAAGCTCCACTCTCAAAAGATCCAAGCCGTTAAAAAACAAAACCCAAATATGCTGTAGTGAGGCAAAGGGAGAAATTTCACCCCCTGAAACGGTTAAAATCTGGCAAATACTTAAGCCATTAAAAGAAGACCAAACATGGATGACAGCAGATAAACAGTATCAGTATAAACAACACTATTATTCAGGTCTCTCAGTATGCAAAAGGACAGACTCAGATTTTCTTGTTATCTTAGGACCACAAAAGACAGGATCTTTATGGTGGAGTTTTTTATACTGCCACAGTAGCTGGAAGGAGCTCATATAGGTACTTTCTCAAACAGCTTCTAAATAGCCTCTGACTTTGAGATTTATTTGCTATATGAAAACAGACACTCAATTCTTAGGACTTGCAGCAAAGTGTTGATACAAAGCTTGTAAGAAAATTGTCTGGAGAAGACATTTTAACACACAAAAAAGCCCCCAGACAAAAACAAATACCACCCTCAAAAAATCCAAACCAAAACAAAAAAACCCCCACAAACAAACAAAAAAACCAAACACCAAACCCAAACCAAAGGGGAAAAATAAAAGTCTTAGAGTCTTCCTAGGAGAGGCATGATGACACAGGATACTAGCATGTCCTAGCATGATTAGAATTTTTAGCTATATTTAAACCATTCTGAAATTTATGACCCAGAAAGGTCAGCGAAAAAAACCACTACAATCAGTGACTTATTTGGTCATCTCTTTCATTGTTACTCTATTTCACAATGAAAGTATCAGGGAAGACTTTTTGCCTTTGTCAAAGATAAACATGAGGGATGTTTCCTCCTTGGGGTACAACACTACCCAGTGAACTTTCCTGAATGCTGTTAGTTGCAGAAGATGCGTGTTCTCCTAGGTCATGTCAGGTCTGAAATTTTTAAGAATTCACAACACAGAGATGCAATGACTTGAGCAAGAAGCCCCTGGATTCTATCTGTATTTTAACTGGATGACTGGAAAAATACATATATCCAGTACTATCTTGTAGCAGATGACAGTAATAATCCACATTAACATATGTATGCTTAAGAGAAAAACGTATTTTGTGAATTGCTAAAAGACATTACTTAAAATTAATTTTCAGCATGGAAAGAAACTGGTCTGTCACTCCTATTGCACGATTCGGTCAAGTGATATCTACTTAAACCTGGCATTAAGAGCTCTCTAGCAGCAGTAGCTGCCTGAACCAGGTATTCTAGCACATACCACACCATCACATGATCACACCATCACCTTGACCAGCACTTCCAGTGAAAGCAGTAACTCTTTGCCTGTTTCACTAGTAGGTTTTGCTGAATGACTACACACCATATGACATCTGCTCTGAAGGGAACATGCCAACTTTAGGCTGCCCATAACCCACAGCCAAGCTTTAATTTTGTAGTGTAGCAGGGGAGTTAAATCACAGAACTATGAACTTCAGCATCAATTACGGTCATGGCATCCAAAGCAGTACAGTGTCTAAGTGGCACCTTTCAATAATAAAAGAATTGTATCAGTTTAGTGACAAAATTCCTATGCAGGACAAGGCAAGATCAAGCAGTGTAAACAATTCTGAAAGAGAACTACTAAAATGAATTCTAATTAAATTATGTGATTGTGTAATTAATAAAATGTAATACTAGAGATAAATATCAAGTAGTACTTTTAGAATATTTTGAGCAGTTCTTTCAACACAGAGTTAAAATAGAGAAGTACTATACATCAGTTTGTGAAAACTATCATTCTTTAATCCAAAAGGTCCATTTCAGGTTGCATGTTTGATATTTATCAATTAAATAAATTACACACATTAGTCAACTACAGCACTGAATGAAACGAAGCTAAGATTAAACCTCAGAAAACCCCTTCAAACTGGGGCTAGATGGGCATTAACAGTTAAAGCAGGTTCTCACTGACTACAGTACAGGGGTACCTAAGTCACAAAACCGGTTTTACTACTGCAGAAACCTCATCAACCACCTACAGCTGCTGTCCTATTCTTACAGCAATCAAGACTCTGAAACTGAGTCTCCTGTCAGTTCTCTGCCTGCCAATGACTTTGATTTTTTTCCATGTAAAATTCTAGGTTTTTTTCAGTTTTGGCTCTCAGAAATGTTACAGTGTATGGGCATGTATGAGGTGATAACTTGAATTGCCTAAGAAGAGATCCCCCCTCTCTCTACTCCAGGACAATTCACTATTCAACTCTGTGGAGCCATGAAGACAGCCTTCCTTCTTATTTTGCCATGCATCTTACACCATTTGCGTTACAACAAAAGGAAAATCCATGATCAGTACTTTGGGGAAAGACCTTGTTTGAGACAGGTCATAAAGTATCAAATCCCTCAAGTATCTCATTCTAGCCACTACTGCTAGACTGAGATTAATGGCAACAGAAGATGGGGACTGTTGGTGTAATACATTTACTTGCAAGGGAAGTTACTGCAAGAAAACAAAAAAGCCACAGCAATGTATGTGACATGGGAGTGAACCAGAATCCAAGTAAGCTGTGGTATGAACTTCTAGCTTTACAACTGATGCAGTTTCCTGGGACGTGACTCAATGAATGTCATGCTGAAGAGAGCTCTAAGCCAAGCTTCTCAACTGCCTGGGTATGCATTTTAACCACAATGCTATTAGGCAAAAAGGAGAAGCTCCTACCACTTCCAGCAGTGTTTTGACAAGAAGTTCAAAACTGGTAAAGTGTCAGGCAAGATCAGCACAAGCTTATGGGTAAAGGTATAAGCATCTATTTACACGTAGGTACCAAAATGTTTCCTAGCATGCAATTCTGCTTTAGGTAAAACTTAC